TCCTCAACGCTCCTTACTTTGTCACAAATAAAATCATCCATATAGACCTTAATATTCCATATGTTTCCGATTTGGCCCAATTCAGATACCTGTCCTTCCATAACAAACTGCAGAACCATCCGAATCCTCTCGTTTCAAACCTTGCTTCCTCCTCGATCCCTGATAACCCTCCGAGGAGTCTGAAAAGAAGATGGCTTCGGGACCTTCTAATATAGAACTTTAATTTGAGTTCTACCAATGGGTAGTTTCTCTTCATGTTGTACATGTCATGTTACCAATGTCACATTTACTTATTGTATTTTCTATGTAATACAGTTGTAAATTTCATTAAAATAAAAAAAAAATGTTTTTGTCTTTAACCATTTCCTTTTTTACTGTATAATTTCATTATTATAAATAATTAAGTGCCAAGAAATATTTTTAGTCCGATAAGAGTGATAAAAATGACGTCTATATTTATTTATATTTCATTGAGGGTATTTTATTTGTTTAGCCACCGGTATATATAAAAATTTTAATTATGAATTGTTCAAATTTAATTTATAATTGTTATTTTAATTATTAATTGTTCATCATTGAAAATAATAAACCATTGCAATCGTCCAGAAAATTCCAGTAGATAACCTTCTCTCAAAATTGGAGGTTTTACGTTTCACGATACGTAAAACTCGGAAATCCAATAAAAGAAATTTCTTCCGTCCGCGGCTTTTCTCCGATACTTCTGGACCATTTCTTTTCAAATTTGGAATCAAAGTAAGAGGTCACCCGAGGATGATCCTCCTACCAAGACATTGCTATCCGTCCTTTCCTTTCAATATGGCGGGCGAAAACCTGTATTGGTATAGACTGTAGCACCTAAACGAATTTAACGATTTCAATGAAATTGGCTAAAATCTTTGCCTCGATACCCTTTAAATATATGATATAACTTACTCGTTCTTCAACGAAAAGAAACTAGTAAAAAGTTACGAGGGGTCGTAAAATTAGATTTCCGAATAACTCAAGAAGTATACCCTTTTTATAGATGCTATGGATATTTTTAAAAATTTACTAAATTTCCTCAACAAAATTGGAATCCGACAATTTGGTGCAATGATATTCACTTACCTATATATATAAATATTGTAGTAGACATCCCCTTGTATTTACTCCTTTAGATGACATTGGGTGAGGGAATGAGAAGGAATATATAGGAATGTGAGGTTGCACTGTGAATTGTACTCAATTATGCAGTGGACAAATTATTCATGGGAAAGTCTCATATCGATAAACAATCGATGAAGAAGGACGCTGGAAAAAGGAGAGCAGGTAGCTATCAACAGCTGGAGAGGCACTTGAGGCAGAGACACGGAGGCGAGAGGACTTTGAGATGAGAGAGGCAGAACATTGAAGACCAAGAATATCAAGCCTACAGTTATAATACTTTAATAGATTCACTTATTACCGTTGTAAAGTAAATTGTTTTGTTAGACAGGAGTGAAAAGTCATTTTATTTAGTTGTCCTATATGCCTCACATCTGAAGAATAACAAACCAGGTGAGTCAATTCATTCAAAGTGTATTTTTGTCCTACATCCAGATATATATATTCTTGTTGTTTCTTCTCCTCACTCAGTGTCACAAAGGTATTAGATTCCCGACAACAGTTAAACACCCTCAAAAAGTCTATATCCAGTGCCGGGGTTTTGTTTTAATTATCACGAGTGTAAATAACCTAGTTCCCCGATAAAAAGCGGAAGGCTATTCGCTATTCCCGCCAAAACAAATTATTAACATTTAACTTTATTTGGTTATTTACAGTATATATATATATATATATATATATATATATATATATATATATATATATATATATATATATAGCAAGCTCTATTGCTCTCGTATTCTTTTGGTTCCTCAATTACTATTCTCCGTTCTGATCTCTTTTTCGCCTATAGTTAATTCTCAAATTCATATTTTATATTTTATAATAGATATTAATGTGAAATGGTCAATTGTTTTAAATTAAAAAAAAATTACAGCTAATAGGGGCAGCTAATATTGAAAATTAGCCATTTTAGTCCTGTTAAAGAACAACAATCAGAATAAAAACTTCATTTTATTTAAAACTGCTTAATTTTACAATGATGAAATTGTCACGATCGCAATACTTTTCTTTACTATATATATATATAGAGAGTGAGAGAGAGAGAGAGAGAGAGAGAAAATTTCATGATTGTAAAATTAAGCAGTTTTAAATATGAAATGAAATTAGTGAAATGAAATTAATGAAAAATATTTATACCTGTTTTATAAACCAAAATAATATATACCTAATCTGAACTACATATAATGAATAGTTGATGGGTTGTTTTGTACAGCTCATATATCACTAATAAAAAAAATAATTTTTATTTCCTTTATTTTGTTCGGAATTTGGAATAATAAATAGGAAATGTCGAATGCATTATTCCCGTTGCACAAATAAAGATATAAAAGGCGAACCTATATGTTCTTCTAGGTTACCGTAACTGATTGTTAGTATCAGTAGTATATAGTATTGGGAGTATATGGTCTCAAAATATGGGAAACGCGAAATTGAACCAAATAAGAAAAATAGAAAAATACATTAAACAAACCAGAAAGGAAATCTCGTAAAAGAAAACAAGGATCAGTATCCATTATATGGCAAAATGAATATATATATATATATATATATATATATATATATATATATATATATATAGTAGACAGATGAACAGAATATTTCAAGATACTAATACTGCTAAAATGGGGTCAAATGCTGGAGCAGTTTGGATAATATTAAGGACACTATGCAGATTTATTATGGTGAAGATCATTCTATCAGCAAGAAAGAATATGAAAGGAAAACAAGCTTTTCTGAAAGACAAGTAGATATTAGCACAATCCAAAGTGTGATGCAGTGCAAAGTGCACTAAGCAGATAGAGAGCTCTTTTTCTTTCTCGATGGACTTAAACCTACCTTAATGTGAAGACAGTCTCAATGTGCAACTTGAGTTTCTCAATCCATATCGCTCTGGCAATCGACAATATTTCTTATTCTAGCTTGTACGATTCTTGAGTAGAGTTTCTTTGGTACACCAAACAAGAATGAATCTCGATGGGTATTATGTTTCCTAGTATCTCCTTTCTTGTAAGGATACAAAACTACAGTCCTTTAATATCATTTTCTAATACATTTGTTGCCTATGTACGTGCAGATGTTCGGTTTACTTTGTCCAGACCACCTGACTTGCCGATTGCCTCAAACAAATCTTTCTTGCTGATAAAATGGTTTTCACCATAATAAACCTGCATCGTCCCCTTAGTATTACCAAAACTGCTCCAGCATTTGACCCCCTTTTAGCACCATCTTGAAATATTTTGTTCATCTGTTTACTTTATATTCGTTTAGCCATATAATGGATACTGATCCTTGTTTTCTTTTCCGAAATTTTGGCACTGTCGTTCGCTTAATGTATTTTTCCAATGTTTGGAATCAATTTCGCGTCTTCCCTCATTTTGAGACCAAATATTAACAATCAGTTACGGTTACCGTGAAGAACATATAGCTTCGTCCTTTCCATCTTTCTTTGTTCAGAGAGAATTATGTATTCAACATTAAAATTTCCTATTTTTTATATGGTCTTACTTCTGAACAAAATAAAAATAACAAAAGGAAATAAAAATTAATTTTTTTATTAATGATATGTGAGTTTTACTAAACAACCCATCAACTATTCATTATATCCAGTTCAGATTAAGTATATATTATTTTAGTTTATAACAACGGTATTAATATGAATCATTTCCGGGAAAGTATGTGCAAATTAAATTACCTCTAAGAATCAGCAAATATAAAAATCAAAGTCTTAAATTGTAAACGTTAAATAAAAAATTCAAGATATTCAACAAAGTATTTTTTAATTAAGTTTTATTATTATAATTATATCATTACTACAATGGAGGCCTTCTTAAACGTTCTCCGTATAGAATTAAGGAAATAAAATTAAAAAAATATATAATAAATTTAAAAAAAATTTTTTTGGACAATTAAATTATTTAATTAATATTTTTTCGTTAATACAATCAATATAATGTACCAAAAATGTTGACTAGCACATATGTTGACATTTAGCTATATCACTATAGCTAAGCCATTTATGATTACTGAATGGTGTGGTAGAGGCCTGTAGGCACCTACGCCAGCACCGCTTTTCTGCCGCTTAAGTGCATTTTTTTACGAAACCGCTTAAAATATTTCAAAAAGTAATCAGTGTTTTAGAAAGAGAAATATATTCTCCAGATATTTTATTTCTCCAAATTTTGCGTTATTGTTGCCCGTTTAATTACAAATGACGCTTGATTTTCAACTTGTAAAGTTCTTTGTTAAAAAATTGAATTTACTGGTGTTTTTTACTACCTAATCCAATTTTTTAAAAACATTTTTCAATGTTGTATTATCCAGATTTAATAAAAGACCAACTCTGCCGAAAGTAAGCCAAATGTTGATTCTCAGTGACTAAAAAACTAACTAAAGTCAAAGTCGTCATCAGTCCGCCATGCTTGGACGCCATTTTGGGATAGTTAGTTCATTTTTTTGTGGCCTTTTTTTAAACATTGCCTTTTTTTAAATAAATAGATACAAGGAACACAACAATATGCAATTTATAGAGATGTGAGGGGGAGGGGAGTGCACGGTTGGGGGGTTTGACCCATAGACCTATATTGGTTACTTCAATTCAAGAGACCTTAAAATGTGTATTTCCATTGAAAACATGGATTTCTTATTTTTTTCTCAACACGTTTTCTTACTAAATATTTAACATATCATACAGGGAAAAGTTAAAATCGTTGATCATCGCTAACATAATTAGCATATTTTTTTAACGCTATTAATAGATATATGTATATATAATAAAGTAATAATTTCCCTGTAAAGTATTTTATGTTTTCTTAGTTATCTTGTTTATCAGTTTATTGATGTAATTATTGATTTTTATTTTTAGGCTTTGTGCGTTTTGTATGATATTACTTTTTCAAAATAACGACGGCATTTGGTATGGAGGAAACTATATAAGCTCATGTTTCAAACCAAAAGAAGAGTTTGAAGAGTTTAATCGTGGTATTCTGACAAGTGGGAATCTCTTACAGTCTTACAGGAATCTGTTTCGGCCATTCTTCAGGCATAAACATAAAACATTAATAAAGGACCCATTAGTACAACAAACAGGCAATGTGGACTTTAATTATTTCAATAAGCATCTATCAGCAAGAGAAAATAAATTCGAACACTTTCCACAATACGATTCCAGAATAGGAAAAAATCACGATTCATATTATCCTACCAAGTTTTTGTTACCAAACTATAAAGTTCTCATTAATCCTTTTTCCTCTCGAATGAATATGCCTTCAAAAATAGGAGAAAGTCAGCATTTTGTTAACGAAATTGGAGATACCTTATCTAATCGCAGAACAATTGAACCTCAAATGAAATTGCAAGGAACGGGAGATACTCAATATTATTGCTATGGAGTAAAAAAACGAAAACCCGTTCATAAAAAGAAGAAACATGACTATGACAAGCTAATTTATCCACATAAAGCAGTTGGAGGATTACTATTACCAACCAAGATTATACTAGACAATCTTAACTCCTGGAAATGGAAAAACAAAAAGGAAATCCAAACTAATAATCTTTCAATGTCCATGGTATACGATTTGTTGTCAAAATCTACAACGCGCTATCCATTAAAAAAGACAGATCCTGTTTGTCATACTACAGAAAAAAGAAAAATTGGCATTCTTGAACAACTATCAGAAGACCAATCAGTTTTTCCTGACAGGGGAATGTCCCCCTCAAACTGTTTTGTTTCCACTGAGAGGCTTATGCACCTAAACAAAAGAACACAAATAAATCCGAGTCTCCACCGAGAAGAAACCACCAACGAAAATGATATAGAAAGACCTGAAAAATTCAGGGAATACAAAAAAATGAATTGTCTGGACGACGAAATGAAAAATAATATATTTCCAGCAGGTATTTCTGATTGCGGTTGTAGAATGATGTACAGAGACCAATTGAAAGCTTGTGGATATTTTACAACAAAATTGGCAATAACTTCTGAAGTACCTATAATATTTAAATTTGAAGATTACTTTTGTGAATGCTACAGTTGTTCAAGTGACAGCAAGCGAAGAAAATTTCATGGAAGGAAAGATAAAAGGAAAAAAAATAAAATAAAAGAAAAAGATAATTTTTTAAGGAATAAAGATGTTGAAACTGATTTGAAAATCAATAATGGATGTGATGATTTACAAGTCGGTAGAAAACATTTGATCAATACAGACGATTACTTAAATATTAGTAAATGTATAGTAATATCAAATGATGAGGTTATAGATCCCAATGATGAAGAATTCTTTAATTATGATTTCGACAATATAACCTCAACTAATATGACCAGCACTGACTCTTCTAATATGAACGAATATTCGACAGAAATTTCCAGAATCAAGAGACGGACATTCAAATCTAAATCGAAATGGGATCGCAAAAGGAAACGAGCATTTGTACCGCTCAATGCTTATCATGAATATTTATTCCGAAAACCCAGTGCTAAGTTGTTTAGCTCACCCATTTCTTCTAATTCAAAAAACAACAATTTCAAAATTAGAAAAGTGAACAAACATAAAAAAAAAAAAATTAAACACACTATTCACAAAGGTTTGAATTTGGGAATTTCAAATCGAGAAATGACACTGAAACAGAAGGCAAAGCTTATCGGGGACAATGTCGAAAACGAAAAAGACAAGGTACATAAGAAACGAGAATTTGTTGGTGAAAGGCAGTCATTTAACTCTTCGGATCTTTGTGAGGAATTGCAAGAAGATTCGACTTCAATGAGCACACCTTCTTCACCGAATTCTATAAAACCCACTTGTCTTTGTCTAAATCTCACTCATCCTTCTTTTGTAATGACTGAGAATGAAAAGGTCACCCACTCTACTTTTGTAATGACCGATACTGCTAAACCCATTCATTCTACTCTCTCAAGCACCGATAGAGAAAAGCACCACCACTTTACATTCGTAAATCCATATAACATTTTCTCTAAGGTAACAGGACTTATTTCAATCCATAAAAGCACCCACCCCGGTAAACATGTCATTGAAACAAGCACTAAAGTATTAACAATAGAAATGTCTACAAACATTATGCCTATGTTCAGACCGGATACAGGAAACCGCCACCCTGCCAAATTGAAATGTGAACAACAATATAGTAGAGAGTGTGTGTGCTCTGTCACAAAAGCTCTTCAAGAAATCAATAACTTGATTTCTAATAACCAAGAACAAAAATTCCTCCTTAATCAGTTAACGATATATAATTGTACTAATTATATTCCCGTCGAAATCAACTATAAAATGTCTCCCGAATTAAAGCCAAGGCTCATTTCAAATAAACATAAAGAGTTGTTAGCTGATGAAAAAAATGGTCCTAAAGAAATTATCGATGAAACTTTCCAAGAATTGTTGATTCGAGATGTGCCCAATGAAGGTATATTTATTGTTTTACAAGAATTACTTAAAATAATGTACATGTTGTTAACCTAACCATTTACGGAAGTGGGGTTTTGATTTTGATTTTAATCATTTTTATAGTGACAGATTTTTATGTGTTTCCAAGCACAAATGTAGAGATACCTTGTTTCATAAATGACGATATTCAGCTTTCACCGAACACTGCAGATTCGGCATCTTATGTCTGGAGACAAGGAGATAACAAATTAATAACAGGTAATTAATTTTTATATATAATTACATAACTGCAGATAACATAAACTTTGGTCATGTGTCAAGAAAGTAAACTTTTTTATTTTATATAGTTCACCAACAATTCATTATGTTTCTAATACAAGGGTTTGTTTCAGTGCAGGCCTTAGACATTTGGGGCACAGGCTATGACGAAATCTCCTCTAGCCTAAAAAAAATTAATTTATTTCTTAAGCTGTTTATATTATAAAATATTTGAATTTTATTTCATTCAACCTTTCTTTGTAAACGGTTGCTTTATTGATAGGCAAAAATTAATTATTTTAAAACGTTTTGTATTTTTTTTTTGTATTTCTAACGTAGTGTGCGCCCCTTTAGATCAGCCGGCGCCCCCAACGGGCGTCTCTCCAGTTAGGAACCCCGGGCGCCCCACCCTAAGGCCGGCACTAGTCTGTTTATTTGTTTGTTCATTTTGTTTTATTTAATTTACAATACCTACTATTATTATCACCACTATGAGTATGGCACAAGTGACTTATAATATTATCTAGACAGCCACGTGAGAAGCTGAGAACCACCTCCTGAAAATGGTGAGAAGTACAATTTTACTAAATGTACGCTTTTGAGATTTTCTCGTTAGTCCTGGCTTTGTAAATAATCAAAAATACAATCATAAAACGTTATTTAAAACATAGGATGTTTATTTTAGGCATGCAAGAAAAAATAAACGGAGAATCTAGTTCCTAAAATAAAAAAAAAATGCGCAGTTTTTTTCATTATATTTATAATTTTAATTATAGAACTCCTGTATCTTCGCTGCGGACATGTAACTAATTTTAGTAATGGCTTTATTTTCAGCTTCATTTTAATGTAATGTCTAAACTTTATTTACAAAAATTGGGTTTTTGCATAGAAAAAAAAATCCGCCTAAATTTGAGCTTCAATAGAATATGAGGGATGAAAAAGATATATAAGGCTGAAATTGCTTTTTAAATTGTTTAAATTTGGTGCGGTCGTCCCTCAACTTTCACTTATTGCACTACTTTGAATAGAAATTATTTTCTGGTAAAATTTAGCTATCACCAAAAGTTTTTGGAGTGAAGTCTCCACCATCAGAATGGGGCAATGAGAAGAAGAAGAAGATGTCAGCCTGAAAGAGAGTAGCGTTGAAGAGGAAAGAGAGGTAATGGATGGGACAGGTGCACTTCTTACAATTTCTGTGGTAACGCTTGTGCACCACACCGCGAATTGTCGAGCAACCTTTTTTTTTTAAGTAACATAATTCCCTACCCACCATTGTCGAGTTTCATTCCGTGGGGCTGGCACGAAATAAAAGCCAACTATTCCCAGGCCGGATTCGAACCGGCGTCGCTAGGCACGAGGATGCTAGTCCGGGCAACGCTCCAACACACTCGGTCACCACGACCTCTTATGATTGCCGGGCAACCAGATAACCGAAGTTATGAGAGATTTAAAAAGAGTTCGCATCCCGGTGCCGGGAGAGTCTTTTAAATGGCCGCCCTCCTGGCCCGGGAAAACATCATATAGCCTTAAAGGCGAGGAAGGTTAGGAACCCAAAAAAAAAACTTAACTTAAAACTTTATCTAAAATTTGATTTTGTGCGTATATATAAAGTTTATGTATATTTTTCATATTGTATATACAAATAAAGTTGTTTATTATTATTATATATACAAGTCCTAACTTTTAAGTTTTTTTAAGCCCGTTGTCTTCGTCTACATAGAGAGTCAGCCTCAGTCAGGAGGCTAAGAGCTACCATTGTCATTGGAGGCTAAGCGCTGCCATTTTTGAATGAATTCTGCCACAATCCTTCACTACGGACTCATTGTTTTACTGCCTATTTGTAGTTTTATATGATGATATGAACGCTCATAAATTATCTATATGAAGACACCATAAGAAGAAAACATTTCCTGCTGTTGGTTTATTTCTACTGATCGTTACTAGTGTTGCCCAAAATCGGTCTTGGTCTTACACTTTGCAAGACCAAGACCAAGGCCGCCTAACTGTTGCAAGACCAAGACCAGGACTGGTAAAAAAAATCGATGTTTTTAATAAAAAATTAAGACAAAATAGTTACTAATACTCGACAATCTTAGCTACTATATGTAAATAATTGGTATAACCAATATAGTTTTGCATCTAATTCCTCTAATTTTTCATTCAGGCTTAGTTAGGTTTCTCCTATCTACAAAATACAGGACTGTAAGACTGTTGCGAGACTCTTGTACAAGACCAAGACCATGACAAAACTGAGTTTGCAAGACCAAGACTCGTCTGGGTCTCGCATTTGGGCAACACTGATCGTTACCTGCCCGAGACCTCATAAACAATTTATTCAACCTTTGTTTTTAGTTTTATACAGCTTTTTCTTTTAATATTAGTAGTATATTTATTTTATTTTTCTAACATTATTGTTTTCATTCACAGGACTTATCTTTATTTTCGTTAATTAATTATTATTTTACTATCAATTAAATGTAAAATTGGGTTAATTTTTTTCGTTATTATTTATTGTTGTAGAAAAATGAAATCCTAGCCCATGTTTTGTTTTGTTCAATATTATACAGTCCATTATTTTTATTATATAATTCTGTTATTTTTTTCACAACTGTTAGTTAAGCTTCATTTTATGTTTTCACGTAAAACCTTGAGTGAGCTTAATAATTAACAGATGGCGGTTCCTTTTTTCTTAATACTCTTTAACTAAGTTATCAGGGCAAGCACACTACTTTCATACCAAAGAATCGAATGCATTGCACACCTTAGAATCGTCGTATCTCAGACACTTCAAGCAAGCAGGAGGATCTACGTAACTATTGAAGACCAAAGACCACCATCCTCTATCATTAACGGATATTTATTTTAAGGCAAATCTAATCATCGGATGAACCTCTGCCATCCATTCCCTTGTAAGACCACCTCTTGACATCGAAGAGAAGCATGTCGTCCATGTGTCCAACACTTTTTCCTTTCAATGGGGTCCGTCTCCTGAGGTAATCTTTTATATTACCTTCTCCATTATGATACAGTCCAAGAGTGAGGTATCCATGTAATCTGCAGCTTTTTCCCGTTCTCTTGTAGCTGTTGACACTGTAAGAGCTTGATTCTCATCTTCTACGCGCATTATGACGGCATCAGCTTTGGTAGCACGGAACACTTTTGCCTGTATTTCTGATTCATTCGGAGAAGGCAGTTGATAAACAATTTTTAGAGCAGTTTTTCCTCTTCTGGCGATTGTAACGAACGTGTGCCGCGGCAAGTTATGTTTTAATTTTAAGCGGTTTTAACTATATCCACCATAGTTCTCTTTTCCGTTGGCGAAACTGGAAGATTAGAATTGTTGCGTACCTCTTCTAGTGTCTTATTTAGTTCTACACTCTTTTTTTCAATCAGCTTTACTGTTTTTCTTTTTTCTTTTTGTCAATTATGTAGTACAGCAAAGTCTTCCGCTTCAAAAATTTCTTCTGAAGGTTTGATTATAATTCATTGGTTATGGAATCACTGCCTGCTTGGTCCCTGAAGGCTGAAGGTGGGTTGTGGGTTACAATTTCTGACCAATGCGACAGCAAGCCGCTCTATAATTTTAGAAATCGATCTTTTAACGAGAATGTCTGCGATTTTGTCGAACGTGTGTAATTGAATGAAACGTACAAATTACTTTAGAAAACGAGCTGAAAATAATTAAGAGTAATTTGTTTAATGTTCAAGAAATTGGTTTTCTTTGTCATAGGTGGACGTGTGATCGAAGATTTAAACCATAGGGGGATGCTACAAATTGCAGAAGCGACCCTCGCCGATTCAGATAACTATACCTGTACTGTAAATTACACCAATCCTGATACAGGACAGACTGTCAGTGATTCCTTCGTCCATTCTGTAATGGGTAATGGTTTACATTTATTATGCTTTTATCGAGATTGTTTTAATTGATGAATTTGCACTAAATCTTTTATTTATGGTAAATCTGAAATAATAGGGGCGTTCAAAATGATTTTTTTGAAAAAAAAAAACAAACAATCGTAATGTTTTCTATCTTCCTTATCCAATTAAAACTATTGATTTAGATTTTTTAAAACTTATTGCAGTACTATGTTATGTTTAGTAATATCATTTCGATTACCAATTTTGTGATTTATTTTCTATGAAAAGTAATAATATCATTTGTATATACAAGTACAATATACATACATATCTGGCATGTGGCAATTTACAATAGCAAGATAACGTGAATCAAACTGTTAAATAAATGTCCAATCCAAGAAAACTGGATGAATATATATATATATATATATACAGGGTGTTTTGTAATTGCACGGCACTATTTTATGTATGTGTTCACTAACAGTTTTATGTATGTGTTCACTAACAAAAACGTTCATATTAACATATATCTCAAACTCATTTATTGAACAGGTATCAAAGGTTAAAGATTTATTATTTATTTACTACATTGTGACTGACTGTACAAAGTTTAACGTTTTTAATACTAAATAAAAGGTTTTAATCACCTGATAAACAAATGAACGATAAGCAATGACAGTAGTTGCTCATCTGTTTGTCTAGTTCTGTGTCTTTTAGTGTGTGTGTGAATTATCATAGAAGACACCATAAATATATTCAATTTTGCAGAACAAACAGACATGCTTTTAACTTATGGCGAGATACATGGAAACGGTGCTGTTCGAAGATATCATGAAAAATTTCCTAACCGAAGAATACTAAATCGTAAAAAAGTTTGAGACCATTGAAAGACGCCTAATAGGTAATGGCACGCTAAAACCTATATGAATAAACACCGGTCGACAAAGATTTTGACGAACTGCAAACGTTGAAGAAGAAATACTCGATGCTATTCAGTTATCTCCTACTACTAGTACCAGGAGATTTTCGCGTCGTTTCGATGTTTCCTCTACCAGAGTATGACGAACTTTACGCGAACAACAATTGTATTCATTTGACGTATCGAGTAGGCAATATTTGTTACCACAAGATTACAACTAGTGCATAAGTTTCTCCCAATGGTTAATTCGACAATGCACACGAGATCCGAGAGATGCACACTTCCTGAACTAAATTTTAGTTTGTGATGAATGTTGCTTTACAAGCAACGAGATTCTTAATTTTCGAAATACCCATATTTGGGCTGAAGAAAACCCTCATACGACTGCTGTTGGACATTACCAACATACCTTTTCCTCAAATGTCTGGTGGTATGTGATATTCTAAGCGACATCATCGGTCATTTCTTTTTGCCACCTAGGCTGTCAGGCATATCTTACTTGCATTTTTGTCAAAATAGTCTTCATGAACTCCTATAAGATATTCCGCTAGGCATTAGGCAAAGGCTGTGGTTTATTTATGGCGTTGTTCCAGCTCACTTTTCTAATGGTGTCACTGATTATTTAAATGCAACTTATGGAGACCGATGGGTTGGTCGAAACGGACCTGTTAAGTGGCCACTACGATCTCCGGATTTAACGCCATTAGATTATTTTGTGTGGGGCCGGATGAAGTCTATGGTTTATTCTGCGGCAATTGGCACACAAGAAGAGCTAAGATATCGGATCGTGGAAGCCGCAGTACCTATCAAGCACCATCCTCATGCAATTCGAAGAGGCAGAAGAGCATGGATTCGTCGTGCTGAATGTTGCACTCAACAAAACGGAGGCTCTTTTGAACAGTCACTTTAACTGTTGTAATAACAACAAATAAATAGTAATAATAAATAATAAATCTTTAACCTTTGATATATGTTTAATAAATGTGTTTGAGATATATGCTAATATAAACTTTTTTGTTTATTTTGTGTTAGAGAATACATACCTAAATTAGTTCCGTGCAATTACGAAACACTCTGTGTAAATATATAACTTAAGGTAGTATTTATAGTCGGATAATAGGTCATCAACTATGCTTCAATTAACTAAAACAGCCCCTGTTTATTCTCTTTATTCAAAACGTTTCGATCCCTGTTTTTAAAAATAAATAATGGGATCCTCTTCAGTTCTGGAAAAATAATGCCCATCATTGGTACAAAAAACAAAAGTTGTCATACATTTTAACAATAGGCCCAAATTCATCTTATTTGCTTTAAACTGTGCATCGAAACACCAAGCCTGGCAGCACGCTGAAGATACAACAATACCGCCACAAGGACATCAGGTTACTGTATGAGGGGTACCCTCCTACCCCGATCCTCGAGCCCAAGAATAATACCAATACCAAATACAACGGTGTACACAACAATCTCTGATTGTAATTAAAAGATTAAAATTGCTAAAAACAGTGAATTAAAACAAACTTGCATATAACAATAAAATATACACAGCCAGTCATTACATAAAACAATAAAATAACATTAATGTGATTTCTACTTCTCTCAATTGTCTTCCACTACCACTAAATGACCAACGACCAATGGAGCACGCATAAAACAAATTGATTCTAATATAGTGTTATAGGCGTATTTTAACTAATTCTTTAAACTGTTACATGTAAGTTTGTTTTAATCCACTATGTTTGGCAATTTAATGTATTAATTACAACCATAGAAGGCAGTGGATCAGCTGATGCGAAGGACGTGTTCTGAAATCTTCTCTCAGTTGTTGCCTATTTTTCAGCGGAATCTCTTTGATTATTTACTGAATACAGTTGAAGTGTACACCAGAGCAGTTGTTATTTACAGTTTGCTACATTTGGTTTTTATTTTTTTTTCTCTTATGATATGCGGCATTGTCAGCCAGTGATGTCCAGTAAGGTGCCCACTAAGAGGACTCGGTCAGACGGCGTTAGTACCCCTCGTGATTCACCAGTGAAACAAAAAACTCGTCGCTGCCTGCGAGAAATAGCTCCAATAACCACAGTGAAAACTTCAGATACAGAACCTCAGCTTTAACCAGGTACCTCTTCGCAAGAAATGGTTGAAGAATCTCCTTTCTTCACTCCAAACCCGTTCCAAGTGCTTCATAATGACAGAGAAGTAATGGAGTCAGCAGCAGTACCCAGGGAACCAAGGCCTCCTCCGATATTTGTAAAAAATATCAAAAATTTTCAGCTACTGTGTACACAACTAAACGAAATCTGCTCCGGCAGTTATTCTTGCCTCAACAGGACCAACGAAACAAAAATAACACCAGATACTGCAGAAACCTACCGAAAAATTGTGAAGTACCTGTCAGAAACTAATGCAAATTTCCACACGTACCAGCTGAAACAGGAGAGATCGCTACGAGTGGTGGTTAGAAATTTACACTCCTCAACCCCAACTGAAGTGATAAAAGAAGAACTAGCGACGCTTGGTTTCAAAGTGCGTCAGGTAACCAACGTTCTGAAGGAGAATAAGGAGCAGTCAGGAATGAGTAATAAAGTTCCACTACCTTTATTTTTCGTGGATCTAGAGCCATCACCTGGCATTGAAGAGATTGTACTATAATATCGTGAAGATAGAGAAGCCATACCCCAAGAAGGAAATTGTGCAGTGCCACAATTGCCAGGCGTATGGCCACACGAAAACTTATTGTCACCATCTGCCGCGTTGCGTGAAATGCGGTGAACAGCACAAATCTGTGAAGTGCACCAAACCAATACAAGATCCTGCAGTGTGTGCACTATGCCAGGAGGGACACCCGGCCAACTACAAAGGCTGCCAAACCTATAAGAGCCTCAAATCCAGATACCAGAAGAACCGGATTCAAGATGAGACAAACAGACCAAGAAGAGAACCTTCTAGAATTGCTAACAATAATTTATCATACTCCGAACTACTTGGAGGTAAGAACCCCAATAATACATGTGAAGCCCTGCCGCAGCAACTACCTCAGCCCCAATCTCAATATTCTGTTCATCCTAACACACATAATCATCAACAACCTCAAATTCCTCCTCCTTCAAATGCAACAGATCTCACCAGTTTGTTAGTATCTTTCCTCACCGATTTCAAATCCCTAGTTACTCCACTCATATCACTCCTTACAAATCTCGTATCTCACCTCATCCCTCCTTTAAAAAATCCTTAATGACCCACATCCCAAAACCTATGTCCATTCTCCTTTGGAATGCGAATGGTGTTAGAAATCACGTAGACGAACTAACAGCTTTACTACAAGACAAGAACATTGACGTAGCCCTAATTACAGAAACTCGACTGACCATAAAACAGTATTTAAAAATCCCACAGTATTTAACATACCGTACTGACCATCCTGACGGCAGAGCACATGCCGGTACTGCTGTCATCGTACACCAATCCCTCTCCCATCACTTACTCCCATTACCTACTCAAGATTTCCTACAGTCAACCGCTATTGTAATCAAAACCTTCTCCTTTCCAGTCACCCTTGCATCAGCATATTACCCTCCTAACAGATCCATAACCAAAGTCCAGTTCAGTTCTCTCCTCAACTCCTTAGGTCATCATTTCATCCTGGGTGCAGACTTAAATGCCAAGCATCAAGTTTGGGGTTCAAGAACCACGAATTCTCGTGGCAGAACATTTTTGTCTACACTCAATACTCAACGTTTCAGTCTCCTTCCACCCAACTCACCTACCTACTGGCCCACAGATCCTAACCGCAATCCCGATATCCTTGATTTTTTCATTCACAGTGGCTTAGGTCCCCTCAATCATTCCCTTACCCCTCTTGCCGAACTATCCTCAGATCATAGTCCGTTATTACTCCAATTATCTCTAGCTCCTATTCCTAAGTCTTCTCCACCGTCGTTCATCAGAAACTCTTAACTGGAAACTCTTTCACCAAATCCTTTCCGATAAAATTGACCTCAGAATGACCCTGAAAACCCCAGATGACCTTGGCAATACCGTACACTTTTTTACCACCACTATCCAACAAGCAATCTGGACTGCTTCCTCTCCATTGGAAAGCAAGCAATATTGCTCGGGTGCATTTCTGGACATAGCTCAAGCTTTCGACCTGGTATGGCACGCCGGGCTTCTTTCCAAGCTGAAAAACTATCTTCCTCAATCCTTGTACCTTGTTCTCCGTTCCTACCTTTCAGATCGTACCTTCCGAGTTCGTTGCGGTACTGAATTTTCGCATTGCTATCCAATTGAGGCAGGTATTCCTCAAGGTAGCGTATTGGGTCCCGTCCTTTACATCCTCTTTACCGCCGATATCCCTGTCCATCCCGATACCTCCCTGGCAACTTTTGCTGATGACACCGCCATTCTATCATCCGACTCAGATCCTGATATAGCATCCTCAAATCTTCAAAGACACCTCTCCCTGATTGAGCACTGGTGTAATAAATGGCGTATTAAAGTAAACGAATCCAAATGCCAACACATCACCTTCACGCTCCGACGCAGTTCCTGTCCACCAGTACACTTTAATTCCATCCAGCTTCCTTTCTCAGACACAGTCCGGTACCTTGGCTTTCTCTTAGACAGACGACTAACGTGGAACCCTCATACTAGACTTAAAAGACAGGAACTAAACCGACGATATGGCCAACTATACCGGCTACTAAACAGGAAATCTAAACTTTCCATTGAAAACAAGTTACTGATCTACAAGACAATATTGAAACCTATCTGGACTTACGGACTTGAACTGTGGGGAACAGCAAAGTTTTCTAACATCAAACGCATCCAATCCTTTCAATCCAAAGTCCTTCGAACAATAGTCGATACTCCTTTCTATGTAACCAACAAAACCTTACACCATGACCTTAATATCCCATTTGTCCTAGACCTTATCCCATCAAAATTCTCCAAATTCCACCAGAACCTTACCCATCATCCAAATCCCTTTGCACAATCTCTATCCAGCACCAGCCATCCATATAATCCTCCAAGGAGGTTAAAACGGCAGTGGCCCCGCGACCTTTTATAGTTTGTAAATATTGGAGTTCTTGCAATGGCCAGATTCTCCACTCACGACATGAGTGTATGTGGCTTAAGCACTCTTGCTCAATCTCCACTGGGTTTAGCCCCAGTGACGCGGTTGAGAGAGAAGTGCTGGGATCTCCTGGAGCCATGCTTTTCCCTCCACACTTGGAGAGACAAGTCTGGTTTGGAGTTCCCTCAACAAATTGTAAATATTGTATATAGGTATGTATGTGTTCTTTTTATTCATTTATTTTTAGGTTATTTTATTCTTATTTATTGTATATATGTTATTTTTCTGTATAATTTATTTTATTTACTGTACATAGAGTGTGAATGTGATCTGTGAACACTATTATAAATGTCCTTGAGACAGATTGTAATATTTTTCAATAAATAAATAAAAAAAAAAAATTACAACCAGAGATTGTTGTTTACACTGTTGTTATTGGCATGGGTATTTTTATCATATTCTAGGATCGGGGTGCGCACTGCGGCCCCCCAGTAGTCTGGTGTTCTTGTTGGGAGTAGGTATTGTTGTGGCTTCAGAGTGCTGCCTGGCTTGGGGTGTCGGTGCTCGATTTAAACCAAGTAATATCAATTAGGAACTATTGTTTTTTCTACTAGTGATGGCTATTGCTTTTCCAAAATTGAAGAGGATCCCATTATTTATTTTCAAAAACAGGGGTCGAAACGTTTTGAATAAAAAGAATAAACAGAAACTGTTTTAGGTTATTGAAGTGTAGTTTGTGAACTATTATCTAACTATAATAACTATCTTAAGTTATAATTATTAAAAATACTGTAATATATATATATATATATATATATATATATATATATATATATATATATATATATATATATATGTATGTATGGGTGTATGTATGTGCTTGAGCAAGTGCATGCACGTGTATTTGTCTGCTTTGTTATCAAATATATTTTACTTACTAAATAGCACTTTCATCATCCCTGAAGTAATGAATTCACGACACAACAAAAAACCGATCTGGCGCGTTGCGCTAATCACACAACTTTCACTTACTAACCTTAGAGTAGATAGGTATTTTCATATATATTCATATAGGGAGGTCAATGTGAAAACGACGGTATAACTACATTTAAAACAATTAATTGCCCGCCCATCGAATCTGCTAAATTTATACGTTTGCATCACTTTCCATTTCCTTTTATGACTGCTTTATACTATCAAACAATACTAATGATTTTAAGGGAAATTTGGATTTTTTGGAAAATATCTGAGTTTTATCGAAAACATTTATCACAAAGCTCTTCGAATAAATAACTTAATGTTAATAAATATTGTATATTGTTAGATTTACAAGATTTGCTTGCATTTGATTCAAATTTAATCTAGTTTATTATGAAGTACATTATTGTATTTATATATTTTTTTAGTTATTGCCTTTTTCTCAACATAAAACGTTGTTAGCTTAAAAATTACAAAATGTAAATTTTCTGGTTTTCTGTATGTAATCAGAACATGGTTCATGGTATCTTTTTATAAGTTTTAATATCTTTTATCGTATACTATCGATTATATGAAGTTAATATCAATCTAAAACTTATATCATTATCATGAAATTCCGCATTGATTGATATCGAATCTAATTCTGTTGTCAGTGACTTTTTAGAATCATTAAAACAACGAAACTTTGAATAATAATTTGAACGACCGAAAATTGAAAAAACTAATTAAACTTTAAAAAGGTATCGTCTACTGTGAACAACATAAATTTTGTGGTTTGAAGCAATTTTTGCTTAAAGTGGAAATACAATTAATATAATCTCATAAATATCACCGTAACCATTGATTTTATAAAAAAAAAAAAAAAAATGTATATAATAATTTTTATAGAAATTTTAAAGTTCTTTAATATTGTATTGAACAATCTTTGCGAAAAACCTCATAGTTTTTGAGATATTCTAAAAAACTCTACTTCATTCTATACTCTATGGTCTCACCGATTGACACGAAGGCTAAATTTTCTTAATCCCATAACATTCTTATTGGTGATGATTGTTATTTTCTTATAATAACACACATGGTGCGTAAAACAATGACAAATTAGGATTACATTTAGCGCGTGTCTCCCTCCTCTTGGAAAGTGAGTGAAAAAGAAGGTGTTTTCGTTTTATCTTGTAAAAAGGAAACACGCAACCTGCCCTTTTATTATTATTTTATTTGAAAAGTAAATTTTATCAAGCAATTAATTTTTATTTATACTGAAAGTACTTACGAGATTGCTCTGATCATTTACTCAAACACACATTTAATGGAAGCGAAATGACAGTTGTTTGTAAGCTTAAAGAGGTAATTACGGTAATCTGTGTCAAACAGAAGATGCAACTGAAGAACAAAACACTCAAGACAGACTTTCAGGATAGTACATACACAGCACATTTATTGACTTTGTTACATTAATTTTTTATAGAATATTTTACATTAAACTAGTTTGTCTAGTTCTTCTAATAAGCTATTATTACAATATTAATCCTCAAATAAATTTATTTATTTATACAGAAGTAATTAAAGATACCATAACCTGGTTTAAGACTAGTTTTTTTATCATTTTTTAATCCAATATTTTACAGTTGTAACTCTTCCGACATTCGCTCTCCATACACTTATGCATTATTCGGCGAAAGTAAAATGTGATCAAGAGACTCTAGAAATGTTTGAATTGTATCTCCCGCAGCAAATTGAAGATTACATTTGTTACATCGAACCAGATAGAAAGAAAATATGTACTGTAGAGATTCATAATCCTATTTGTCATCCAAAGAGCAATGAGGTAAAATGGAATATGGTTATATTTATGATCACTAATAAAAAATAAATAACTATAACGACTTTATGTATTCAACAAAAGAAGCTTATAAGGTAAGTAAAATGAAACATCTCCTATCCATTTGGTAAAATCATTGTATAATTGCAAAAATGTTTCCGTTCACCCAAAAATGCATCACAAATATCAACAATAAATTTGCTATTCGGTTTATACTTCCGAGATATGCTTTTGGATTGTTAGGAGTTCTATTCTACTTAGCATTCAGTTCCGAGATATATGTTTGGATTGTCAGTAATGCTTTTCTGCTTAGCACGGAGTTCCAAGACAGATGTTTGGATTGTAAAGAGTGCTATTCTTCTGGTCCAACTGTGGTCAAGCATGTGGTTCTGTTGTCTGTTTTAAAGCTTAGTTTGAAACTTTTCATTCCGAAAATTCATAACCCCGTTGAAATGTGCTCCCCTCAAAATTTTATGGCCTGTATGTATATTACGAACTCTCGTACCTTTCTGGGCTTTCTGAACTGTTCAAAGAATAGCTGAATTTTTATCTTAACGATTTTCGGGTTTTCGTTACCAGGAAGCTCACCGTGGTTTGTTATATTCCGCATGTACTCATAAACCTTGTCACTTTTTCCAAATTTGTGTTATTTAGCCGTTCTTCAAACAAGAAAATAATAAATAAATAAAAAAGAACCTGCACAGATTTTTATTTCTACAATGAATTTCATGTAGCGTTGCCCAGTTAAAAAAATTAAGTTATTGATCAAGTTCTTTATTACACATATTTCCGTAATTAGGAATAATTTTGATTTCAATTTCACACCAGAAAAGTAAATACCACCAAGGAAACAGTTATGTACACTTCATAAACGTTTATTAGTTTTTTATTAAATAATTTACTAATTTATAAGATCAGCATAACGTTTTTTTGTTTTATAAATAAATGAAACAAAAAAAGTCTATAAATGACAATACTAAAAATGAGTTATAGGTAATGTGTATTGGATTATATTCTACGCCTATTTTAAGTATAATAAAAACGTTGGAAGCCATGCCTTCTTGCCTTAAAATTTGGCAAATAATTCCTCTTCCTTACTAATAAACAGAAACTAACCCCACCGTCCAATTGAGCGTATGTATAAAACACCAAAAACACAATTTATTAAATATTCTTATTTTTCAATCTTTCAAAAAAAATTAGAATAAATCCTAAATTTGCGCTTTTAGTAGCACGAGAGGTCATATTTAGAAACTACGTCAAATTCCTTTTCAAACAATTCATGATCATCTCGTTACTTTTATACTTTTTTCCTTCTGAAGTTAATGCCATTGGAAGACAGTAATTTGAATTTTTTCTATACAATATTCTTATTTTTATTAGTCGTACTTACCTCGCTAGTGAATATCTAAATTAGTAAAGTTTTATACATCTATAAATAAGGACATAAGAACCAGTGAATGTTCCAAAATCGATAAAACGATACAGTGCGGTATTACAGTAAAACTTGTTCAATCATAAATACAAAGTGTTTATAAATTACTTTAAAAAACTTGTAATAATGATTTTGGACTGCTGAACTATTATAGTAAACAACGAGGATTGAATGGACTACAATTGTGAGATTGACTTTAGTCCGCTATTTTCCCACTGTGCGGCGCCTCCATTCCTCAATATTCTCCTCCCTAATTATCTTCTTCCATTTGGTAGTGTTTCTCACAATCCTCACCTGAAGATTTTTTTGGTATTTGGAATTCGTGGTTTAAGTGTATTTCATGTAAAAAGTGTTACTAATTTTCTGTTAAATTACAGAATGCCGATCTTAAATCAGTTTGGAAATTTCGAAGCAAAGGAACAAGGCCAAGTTTTGCATCACAGGTATTTGTTAATTATAAACCTTTAGCTAACAACATTAGCTTTTATTTCCTCAACTACCTGAATCACACGACTAAATTATCGAGAGGGTAAGTTTACAATATTGGGGGGGGGGGGTGAAAAAATGGTTAAAAAATGTTTCATACATTATGTCAAAATTTATATTAATTTATACCCACATTACACATACTTTGCAGTTACTAGTAAGAACGTAGCAGGCAACTAAGCTATATATGTGAGTAAATCCAACATATTTTGCGTTGTTCATCCCTTAAAATAAGTGACCACGTTTTACTTTGTAAAGAACCGTAAAAAGTATCATCGTATTGTCAAATTTTAAATTTCGGGATAAAAGATGGGAGCTAAGTAATTTTGCAACCAAAAAATAACTACTATTTCCAGTACCTAGTCTTAATTTCCTCTTTAATATATTTTTCTAATTGTCGTCGAACTTAATACCTAAATTGTTCTACTTGTTTAAATATATTTCCTTCAATCTTCAATATCTATATCACCAAAATCGTCTCCATTTCAGCAGCCATATATTTTGGTATATCTGTATTAATTTCTAGCCCCAGTTCTTTACCAGCTTTCACCAAAGTTGTTGTATTTAGTTTTTATAGTTTCCGTGTGAGGCGCAAAGGTTGTGGAAGGAACAAAACAAAGATATTTTTAAGAAATGAAAACAAAAACTTGTCGTTTAAATTAAAATTTAAATCGGGTTCATTGTTGATTGGCTAAAGATTTAGGATTTATCCCCAATCCATAGCACCCCCCAACCACCGGTCGCCCTCTTCACGCGACAACTCTGTTTATGATTGTTATCATTTTTTATAATCAGATATGGTTAATCAACATAAAAATAACTGTTAGATTATTCATACTTCTCCAGCTCTGAAGAAGGTTGAGATCAAACTAGTGTGTTGGTGTGTTAGACCATGTATAACAAAAACTTATCGTTTGATTTCATGTTCAAGAACTATCAGTGATTATCTGATCCCCCATTTTATTTTTCAACCATTATTTCAGTTTAATTTATGTATTTACGAAAAACTAAAATCGTGCGAATGAAAGCATTTAATAAAAAGTTTCATTGTATACTTTATTCATTAAAAAAACATATATTTTTATAAATTACGTTTCGGAAAGCGTAAGTTACTTTTGTTGGATCACTTTATAAAAATATTTTTTTAACGACAGGAAAATGAGGAGAATGTTATGGAACTTTCGCTGAACTTTGAACTGGATATAGCTGATGTGACACAAACTATGATTTCTGCTGCCAACAAAACACGCTGTGGACCATTTTGCCAACTAAAAATAATACTTAAAGTGGTTGACATATTGCGAGAATCGTTCACTATCGTACTACCACATTCAGGTTATTTAGTCTATCCAATCACAAAAACATTTTAGACTTACAATTTCATTAGTTTAAAATCATAACTGTTTAAAATAACTTTCTTTACTATTTTAAAAAAAAAATACATGGTGATATTAATATTGGAAATATATTGGTAAACAGTAAGGTATGTATGTAGTGAAACGTAGTTTAGTCATTAAATTTATTCATTCAGTTATGGAAGAAATACGACATTTGAAGGGTTATTGACATTTTATATGCATGTACCTACGAATGGATAAAAGTCCGATAGTGTTTATTAACCATCGACTCTAATAGTTATGCCATTGATATGGTAGAATAAGAATCGTTTGATTCTCTAGTTGTTTAGGTTCCCCTTCACTCATAGAGAATAGGATATCTCATATTGCATTCCATTCTATATTTCGTTTTGATGTCGAAAAAAGTGTCAACATCACCTGAACAGAAATCTATTAAAATTAGCTAGTAAGAAGTGAAACGTAGAAGGCAACTAACTATATGTGTCAGTAAATCCAACATATTTTGCATTGTTCAATCCACTATATTTTATTTTTCAATTTAATTTTCTATTTAATATATTGCTCAATTTCATAAATTATCAATTAAATTCAAATAATCTACAAAAAGTCTATTCCGTCCCGTATCGAACTCGCATGGAGGGGAGGTCAAACTCTATGGGAAACCGTTTTTAACCAATTTGTTTTTTGGGGATTTTCTACGTAAAAAATATTGGATACATCCCCTGACGTTCCTTATGAGCCAAGAAAAAATATTTAATGTATTTTTAAATCATTATATATTTACAATCTGAACCTCAGCCTCAAGTAGGTACATCTTCGCAAGAAATGGTTGAAGAATCCCCTTTCTTTACTCCGAACCCATACCAGATTTTTTCAACAAATCAGAAAAAATAAAAAGGAAGGAAAGCCTAACACCAGTTAAGTTGTCCACACACAACCCACATTGCTAAGTTATCAGATCTCGAGCTATCTGTAAGTGAAATGGATATTCCTTTTTGGTGATTGCAGGGATAATAACAGTTCTTGAGAGCTGATAATTAGGGGAAAAGACTCATGACTACTGGAAAAAATACTTATAAAATTAAATTAGGTTATCTTCACCAGGAATAGTTATGATGTTTTGCCGAAAATAAAGATATCCGAATCTAATAGTTCACCCGGGCCATCTAGCAAAAATGAAAAAGATCCATGCTCTATTCTCCACCTACATATTGAAAAATTATTAGCGTCTTTAGAAGTAGATGCCGTCCTTCCCTCACAGCAACTCCCGTAGAACAAATCTGTCAGAGTATTTATTGAGGACCTTCATGACACAATGCCCAAATAATTAAAAATTCTTTAGAAGAATTGGAGTACGAAGTAACTGACGTCAATATCCATTCAAATGATTTTTGTTGACATATGAGAGTCAGCGTTTAACCAAAAAATTTTTGATATTGAATTACTTTCGGGAGAAAATCGAGGAATCAAGATTGACAAGGGCAGTACAACAATGTTTAAGGAGTCGTATGGTGACACAAAATGATAGTATAACCACCCTCCGAGATGTGTTCGATGTGGTTTTAATCACGAAAGCAGGACTTGTACTAAATCAAGGGACACACCTGCGATGAGTGCCAATTGCAAGGCAGAATACTCTGCGAACTATAAAGGCTTTCAAATCCTGAAGTACCTCCGGAAATACCAGAAAACATTCTCAGCGACAACGCCTGTTCAACCAGTAGAGATGTCCCAACGCTTTGAAGACTTCTCTCCCCTCAGGCAACCTTGCTGCATCACAACATTGTTCGGTAATGGCATTACCCAGCCGGTACCTCTGGTCGTTAATGATTCTTCCCGCATGATAGAGATAATAATAAATCTTAATAACCTTATCCACCTTCCTTTTCACTTTCACCCAATTTCATCCTTCTCCAACAATTATCATAGTTTACTCAAGTCTAGTGCCCTACTTATGGATTCTAATAGTTTAACAATAGACACCTTGTCAATTCTCCTAATGTTCACCTAAGGCTAACGGACTCAACCGACATATACCAAAACTTCACTTATATTTACACGAAAAATGGACAGATAGAGATCACCGAAACTCACCTGACACCTCTTTGAATCTATTATTGCAGGATGTACTGTGTACAGAACAGGACAGAACAGAACAACACTGATCACTCAAACTTTCCCGGCAAACCACGAGAAAACAATCCATGGGTATCAAACTTTATACAAAATACCACACCATCACTTTTGCTGTTTTATGTTGTTCTCCAAGGTATGTTTTGATACCTACAATGTTTTCAAACTTTTTCAGATTCTTGGGCAGCTGTTTCATCGCTGGATGTGATTTCAGCGCCAAGCATCATGAGGTTCCCGACTCCGCACCCCAAGAGGTAGAAATGTTGCGTGCCCTCCTATCCCAGATATTTTGACCTAATAGTCAGACTCTATCTATAAAACTCTCGACATTTTTTTAACGAAAGGACTTAGAACTGTACCTAATTGGGTCAAATTGAGCTCAGATCATTCCTTGGTTTACATTACTTGGTTCTTTCTGACCAATCTTCAGAATCAAAAAGACTATCGTTCATAATAAGAAATATGGACTGCGATCTTTAAAGAACGTTTCTTGCATATGATCTTTCAATTCCTGTTTTTTGTTTTTGTTTTTTTTTGTCCTTCCTCGCGTTATAGGCTGTATGGGATTTCCCTGGGTCTAAGGAAAGGGCAGGGGATTAATGCCAGAAATAAAAGTCATCTCCGCCCCTGGAATCGGGATGCGAACTCGTAATTATTTTATGATGATTATCATGTAAACTTCGGTTTATTAGGTTGCCAAGCAACGCGTGTATTGCTATTGTTATCTCGTTCAACCACATCGCCCTCGTGCACGTAATTGAAACAGCCATAGAAATTTTCACAAAATAAATACAGAATGCAGCTTGGTGTTTATCAGAACCCATGGTTAAAGAAGTAATGAATCTACCTTGTTATCCACGCAAAAATAAGGCCCCTAAAATATTCGCAGGCAAATAGGTTTCATTAAACGAATGTTTAAAAGACCTAATAATGAACTGAAAAGCCAAATAAAATAATTTAACTGGTCTAATTATGAATATTACGTTGAAAACTTCGCGATTGACGATGGAAGCTTGTGGGCACACAAAAAATATAAAAAACAGTTCTTGGGCGGTGGCGTGCAAAGAAAAATCTGATCTCTTGGGATCTTTTAATCGGAATAGTACTCAAAACTTTAGGAATTTCATTACAACTATCACTCCCTCATCCATCTCTTTCGTCCACACAAATCGCAGAACACATTAAAAATTTGTCAAAAACAAAAGTTCCCGACCACGATCCAAGAAAAGCTTTTGTGATCCTCATGGCTATTTGTCATCCAATACTTCAGACTACTGAATTCTCTATGCAGTGGCAATATTCATACATCTCAATTATTAACAATTCCAACAAAAACAAATATAACCCTCATCCTATTGTTCAATGAATTTGCATGGTCTTCATTCCAAAGTATTTCAAAAATAATTATACGAAAGAATACTCGACATACTATGCATGATCAGATAATACCTAACTATCAATTTTAATTTAGGAAAATTCACTCAATAAAGCAATAACACCGAGTGACAGATTTCAACAGCAGATAAAAATTTATGTGGAACATGCAAATCCTGGGTATTGTTCAAGTATTTGATGAAGACTACTGTTTAAACCCAATAGAGTTACCCAACACATATTTCTTAGCCCTTCAATCTTTTCTTTCCGATAGAATTTTCTCCACCCTGCAGAGCCCTGAATTTTTTTATATTCAATGAGCCCTAACAGGAGTATCTCAAGTGTCTATATTCGCAATATTGTAGTGTATTATAGCTGCAAGTATCGAATAGAGCGAAGAGCAAAGCAACAAATACTAACATGTGCAGTTCAATGGAAACCCGCTTTGTGGAACGACGCAGCTACATGACTTTCCGTTCTAACTAGTTTTCGTTGCTATATTCATTTCGTGATTTTAGAGCATAATATAAGTCTAATTATTACCATGTGTAAAAAATAACTGCTCTACTGAATACTGGGTATTTAACTCAAATTTAATCACTACTATTGTCAATAACAGTTTTATGTGAAAACTTGAATTTGATTTAATAGATGTTTTGGCAATGGGACTTCTAATTGCTTAAAAAAATAATGTTAAAATTAAATTGAATACATCGCAAGTAACGAATGCTAACCTGTCCAAGCTAGGACATTCGTTACTTTAACATGGTGCTGAAGATATGTCTATCTTCCTATGCTATATATGTATGTTTTAGTATTATTTAATAATATTCGAAAATAAGAACGAATTCCTTCAGGATACAGACGTAGTAAATAACATAAATGATAAAACATTCCGAGTTCGGTTGATGGTATGGACATTAGTCTTCATTTGTAGCATAGAATATTTACATTACAGGGCCATTCCATGTCAATTCAACTGAAGGTTGGACGTGATAACCTCAGATTTTCTTGAAGTTCGGCAGAGTTGTACTATTTGTAGGGACTTGGAGAAATTAGAAGTTTTGTTGAAATAAGCCAATCCATTTCAGAATTAGACAGCTGTAAAGAACTCATTGATTAATTAAAAAACAAGCTTTAAAATTGTCGAAGAATCTTTTATAATTTAGCTAGAAGTCATTTTATAGGATTGATGTCATTTTATAGTATTTTAAGAGATCTTTCGTATGATAAACAACATTGAATAGGTTACTATAAGAACTTTTTTTCAAAATCTAATTTCAATTTCAGTTCAAGTACATTTTTTAAAATCTTAAATTTTTTCTATGAATACGTAGTGTTAAATCATAAGGCGAAATATAAATGTGTAATGATGATGGTTTTATTGCTAACAAAAAAGACTAATGTTTTATTAACATAAATTTACTTTTTTTTATTAAGAAATACTACGATCTGTCTCAGTTAACGACACTTACAATAGAATTCGGAGAGTACATTCACCACGTATATTAACAGAAATATAAATAACTAAAGTAATAATAAAATAATACATAGAAGGTGTTGAGGTAAATTAAGTTTCTTAAGGATTTTTGAGGAGTGGTCAGGAGAGGAAGCAGTCTGGACTGCTTCCTACCCTGATCACTTCTTGAATTTGTGGTGAAGGAATATACAGCATTGTCCAGGTCTTCAGCAGTTTTCAGGGTTACTCTGAGGTCAATTTTATCGGAGTGGATTTGATGAAAGAGTTTCCAGTTAACTGGACCTCTGATGGAAGGACGGTTTAGAAATAGGAGCTAGTGATACTTGTAGTACGAGACTGTGGTCTGAGAAAAGCTCTTCAAGACGGGCAAGGGAATAGTTGAGGGCACCTAAACCACTGTGGATAAAGAAATCGAGAATATCTGGATTACGGTTAGGATCATTGGGCCAGTAGATAGGTGAATTGGGTGGAAAGTGGGTAAAATTTTGGGAATTGAGTGGGGATAGCAATGTTTGACCACAAGAATGGTTTTTGAACCTCATTATTGATGCTTGGCGTTTAAGTCTGCACCCAAGATGAAATGATGTCCAAGGAATTGAGGAAGGAACTAAATTGGGTATTAGAAATGGGTTGGTTTGAAGGGCAATACGCTGATACAACGTTAATAGGAAAGTAGTAGGTTTTGATTACGAATGCAATGGATTGTAGGAAATCGTGAGTAGGCAGTGGGAGTAGGTGATGGGAGAGGGATTGGTGCACAATGACTGCAGTACCGGCATGTGCTCTACCGTCAGGATGGTCAGTACGGTATGTTAAATACTATGGTATTTTTAGAAGCTGTCGATTTTCCGTTATTAGGGCTACATTTATGTTCTTGTCTAATAGTAAGACTGTTATTTCGATTATGTGATTTCTAACAAAATCCAAGGGCATTCCAAAGGCGAATGGGTATGAGTTTGATGGGAGTAATTTAAGGATTTTTTAAAGGAGGGATGAGGTGAGATACTAGGTTTATTAGGAATGATATTGGTGGGGTAACAAGAGATTTGCTTTCTGAAAGGAAGGATATCAATAAACTGGTTAAATCTGTGGTATTAGGCGGTGGAGGAAAATGTTTAGTTTGATATTGGTGAGGTTGTTGTGGATTAGGTTCATTAGGTGGGATTCCTATAGGATATTGAGATTGGGGCTGAGTTTGTTCTTGCGGCAGGGCTTCGCATTCATTAGCTGGGTCTCTACCCCAAGTAACTTGGCAAAAGAAACCTTAGAGTTCACAATTTTAGCGGGTCCTCTTCTTGGTTTAAGTGTATCATCAGGGTCCCTGCGTTTCATATATCTCGCTATAAGATTTTTATAAATTTGGCCAATAAGACTTGGTGTGGCCATATGCCTGGCAATTATGGCAACTTTTTGGGTATGGTTTTTCTACCTTTACGCTAGTATAAAAAATTCTATTAACATCATATATTTTTTCAACTTCTGGCGATTGTTCTCGATCAACGAAAAATAAGGGCAATGGAATTTTATTTTTTACCCCTGACTGTTCTTGATTTTCTTTTAAAACATTGGTTATCTAGCGTACTTTGAACGATAACGCCGTTAACTCATTTTTGATCAGGTCGGTTGGGGTTGAGGAGTGTAAATTTCTTATTACCACTCGTAGTGGTCTTTCCTGCCTCAACTGGTATGTGTGAAAAACCGCATTTGTATCAGTTAAATATTTAACTATTTTTTGGTAGGCTTCGGCCGGTATTACTTTTGCATCATTAATCCTGTTAAGGCATGAATAGCTGTCTGAATATATTTTATTAAGTTTAATACACAACAACTAGAAATTTCTTAAATTTTTGACAAAGATAGTAAGTGGGCGTAGTTCTCTGGTTATTGCTGCATCTTCCATTTCTTCTCTGTCATTTTGGAGCACCTGGTATGGGTTAGGTGGGAAAAAAAGGGAGATTTGGAGGCCATTTCTTGTGAAGATGCACTGGCTGTGGTTGAGGTACAGATTCTTGAGTGTTCGCTGGAGGAAGTCCGGGGGATGTTTTTTTGTTCAGGTGGTGAGCTACGAGGGGTAGAGCCAACTGAATGGAAACTCTTAGGTGACATGATTTAAATTAGATTTAAAAAAAAAAATATACTAACATATTCAATGTTATATATCATAGAAAAGAGCATTTCAAATGCCTTGAAATAACAATAATCCTAGATATCTAATTATTTTGAATAATTAATTTGTTATTTACAGATTTCTAATTCAAAAATGAGTTGATTTATCTCAGTAAAATTTAATATTTTTCCAAGTCACTATAAATAGTATTATACAACTCTGCCGAATTTGAAAAAAATCTGATGTGGTGACGGTCAACATTGGGTTGAATTGAGATGGAATGAACTTATAACAGTAAAACAAATAACAGGTAATCCCTAAGCCAGAAATTCATGGCGAGGAGAAAAAAAAAAAGTGGACAAACGTGAATGCGACGACATAAGGAAAATGGACGAAGTGAATTCTTGCAGCGTCGCTCCATTATGCGGTTGGCCTTGTAATATTTTTATAATTATATACAAAATAAATCTAATAAAATACTAAATCTTTATGAATTTATATATATATATATATATATATATATATATATATATATATATATATATATATATATATATATATATATATATATATATATATACTATCTCAGAGAACAGGACAAAAACTTATTTCCTCATTTCTGTTTTAGTAAGCTCATCAGCTGGAGCAATCTTCAAACCTGATATGAATTCTATAAATATGAAAATATTGATTGCTTGTGAAGGAGGCTTTAAATTAGTGCAAGGTTTTTGTAGTAAGTTATTTAGGAACGATAGATTTATTTTATTTTGAAAATATAGAAGATATTTGATCTTTATGTTATGACCATAGGGATGTTAAATTATAGAGTGAAGCCAGAATAAATTTACTACTCACATTTTTGAGAAAAAAAGTAATGGCAAAATCTGACGGTTATCGCTTATTTCATCATCATAATCCATCCTCTTGAACCGCATTAAGCAGTGTGAGGAGGAAGTTTATAGAGCCTTATCCAGCTCTGCCGGTCTTCAACAAGACGCCTTCTATCGTACCATTGAAGACCTCTTCTCTGGAAATCGCTTTTTACCTCATCTTCCCATTTCCTTCTAGGCCGTCCTCTTCCTCTCTTGCCGTCTACTTTAGACCGATAGGTCTCGCTAGCTATTCTGTTTGGTTCCATCCGCAGAAGATGTCCGGCTTAACACTGAGGTTCGGCATGATGGTGGTGTTGCGTACTCTGTATCTTTTCGTTTTCCCCTCAATCTTTCGAAGGAATCGCATTTCTGACGCTTGTATCCTTGATCGATGTTTCTATGTCAGCGTCCATGATCCTGAAGAGTACGTTAAAATGGGAAGAAATGTTGATCTGAAAACAGCTACTTTTGTTTTCCACCTCACGCTTGTTTAGAAAACCTTTCTTAACTGCTTCAAACATCCTGCTCGCAGCAGCGATTCACTCAGTCACATTTGAATCGATGTATCCATTTTCATTAAGGTGTGCGCCCAAGTATTTGAAGTTTTCTACCTGCTCGAGGATTTTGTCTTCGACTCTGATGACGCGCATATTTCGTCTAGGGTTCTTCCCAACCCTCATTACTTTCGTTTTTACAGGGTTGATAATCATATTAATCTTCTGCAATTCTTTTTAATTTATTAATATTGTACTGAAGATTCTTGTCACTGTCCGAAAAAGTAACAACGTCATCAGCGAATGCAAGTATTGAAAGGCTCACCGATTTCAGGTTGGCATATTCCAGATGAAATTTCCGCAATTTTCCTTTAACCCTTCGTATTGCTGAGTCCATCACTAGTATAAACAAAAGTGGACTAAGACTACAGCTTTGCCAGATCCCAATTGATGTTTCGATTTCCTGTGAAGTGCAGTTGGCAAATCTTACTATATTTCTTGTTTTCTTGTAGAGACTCTCAACCGCCAAGACATGACCTTGATCAATCCCTTTTTCTCTCAAGGCCTCCAAGATATCAGACTTTCTCACCCGATCGAAGGCTTTCAACAAAGCACACCGACATTTCCTTTCCTTTCTCAAATACTTTTTCTAAAACTTGTCTGATGGTAAAGATAAGATCCTGGGTGTAACGATTTTCCTGAAATCCGTATTGTTCCTCTTCAAGTAATCCTTCGATTCTTCCTCTTATTCTCTTTTCCAAGATCTTAGAGTAAATCTTACTTGGTATGCTCAACAGAGATATGCCTCGGTGGTTGTTACAATCTCTATTATCTCCTTTCTTAAAGATAGGGACGATGATGGCCACTTTCCAATGCTTTGGTATTTTCTTCTGCTTCCAAACTAAGTTTAGCAGATGCAGCAAGATTTCTTTTCCATTCTGTCCCATGGATTTTAGCATTTCAGGAGTTACACCATCACTACCTGCGGATTTCCCTAGCTTCGTACTCTAGATTGCTTCTTCCAATTCGTCATCGCCAATAAAGTCGTCTTCTTCCCAAGGACCTCTTGTCTCTTCATCTACACAGGGTGTCTGTCCAGTTTCATTCAACAGATCTTGGAAGTACCGCTTATTTAAAAATGTATATCCGCTTTTGTGACAATGGAACACGGACCAACCAGCGGCCCACAGTTTGTCTGAGAAATCTGGCGGGACAAAATTCAATACAGAGAAATTAATTAAATTTTTTGATCAAAATTATTCCTACTTAATTGGGAAAAAGAAAATTTAATTTCGGGAATGTTTTTGTATCCAATTAAAAGATAAATTTCACAAAATATTTTACAACGTATACTAGAAAATCACATTTAAAAAAATTAAATATATACAATAAACTTATTTAATAAAACAAATTACTGAAACTTAAACATAAACAAAAATGTATTACTATATTTAAAAAAAAAATCATGAAAATGTCAAAATACATTTGCCTAAAAAAATTATTAACCTAAGATTAATAAACTATTATTTATTTATTAACCTAAGTAACACGTTACTGATCAGTAATATTTTTATGTCTAAGTTTGAGAAAAAAGTATTTCAAATCCACCGAATCAAGCCAATGCAATTGTTTAAAATACTATTTCATTGTACTTGTGTGAAAGGAGTAGTGAAATATAGAAATATTTCATGGATATGTTTATAACCTTAAATATAATTACTGTAGTTTAATAATTCTAGATATGATATTATATTTAAATAAATATCTATTGTACGTTTATTGCAAAAAAATCAACAAATGGTTACTTATACAATAAACTATGTGCAAAGGTTCTTATAAATATATTAATTAATTTACTCTAATGTGAATTTTGATTTTGGTTGGAAATATTTTTAATTCTCTCTAGGCATATATGAGCCTCCGGTAGGCAGAATGACTAACTCCAATTTATATACAAAACTTCATGTACAAGTTTAAAAAACTAAATGGTTTTTTAGAAAATTAAATTAGTGAATAATTTAATGATTTTTTTCTTTGGGAAATCCCAACATTATTCACTTACAATTAGTGTGACAACTTTTGATCTATCTATTTAAAAATCTCGTAATTTCATTTTATTAAACTTTACAATGGAAAATAACAGTTTGATAACCAATAGTTCTACAGTCCATAATTATTTATAGATTTAATAGTTAGATATACAATATGAGCCTCCGGTTGACAGAATGACTAACTCCAATTTCTTCTTCTTCTTCCTCCTTGTGCCTTTCAGCATGGAGGTGCCTCAGTCCATGCCACCCACGCAGTCCGGTCTCTGGTCAGCGCCTTTATGGCATTCAGCCCGTGTCCCCTTTGCTGTTCCTGCTTGGAGATGTGGTCCGCCCACGTTAGCCTAGGTCTGCCCCGGAGACGTCTTCCAGTTGGCCTAGCTTCGAAGTACTTTCTTGGATCCCGATCTTCCTCCATTCGGCAAAGGTGGCCAAACCATTTCAGCTGCCTCCCTTAAACCACTTCTTTTACAGCTGAAACTCCCAGCTCCTCTCGTATTCGCTGATTTCTAACCAGATCTCTTCTGGTTCGGCCAGCCACTCTCCTCAGGTATCTCATTTCTGTGGCTTCAGTGCTTGTCCAGTGGAACCCAGCTATCGCTTCCATAGAGAAGAGTAGGTAGGTATATGGCCTTGAAAATGTCCAGCTTCACGTTTTTGTCCACTTCCTTCTTTCCAGCAATTGTATTGCATAGTTGGTAGTAGACATTATTTGCTTTTTTATCCGGTTGGAACTCCCCGTCAATCTTTCCATTCCTGCTGATGACTGTACCTAGGTAGGTATATTCCGCAGTCTTCTCCTAGATTTCTCCCCTGCATCGGATCTCCACATATTCTTCATTTCGTCCTATACACATTACCTTGCTCTTATTTGCATTGATCATCATTCCCTTTCTATCCAGCTCAGCTTCTCACTATATGATTGCTTGCTGCAGGTTTTCTTTTGAATCTTTTATGGAAACAATGTCATCTGCAAGAAAACAGCCTGAGTAAGGATTGTCCTCATATTCTACTTCCCAACAACTGTCCGTGCTGTCCTCTTGCATATTTTTAGAATATTATTCATGAATGTGATGAACAGTAGAGGGCTAAGGCTGTCTCCTTGTTTTAATCCTTTTTTTCATTTCGAAAGGTTCGGATTCATTTCCATTTATTCTTATTACGTCCTTTGTGTTGAGGTACGTGGATTTTATAGCATATATTAGTGTATTGGGTACATTTTTTGCGGCTAGAGCAGCCCATATTTCTTGTCTAGGAACCGAATCAAATGCCGCCTTAATTTAAAGAAAAGCTAGAAACATGCTCTTTCCTCGTTCCCTTGGCTTTTCAATGATAGTTGTGAGAAAGAATACGTAGCCTGGGTCTGGTGGTGCGATCTGAATGCTGCCTGCTCTTCTTCCGTTTCCTTCTCCGATTTCTTTCAACTTTCGTTCAAGGATGGATGTGTAGAGCTTGCAGACCACTTGGCAGACACATATGGGTCTGTAATTGTTGTAGTCACTAGAGCTTCCTTTCTTGTGTATAGGAATGAGGATGTTGTACTCCCACTACTTCGGCACAGTTTTTTGAGAAAAAGCTGCTTGAAAGAGATCTTGCAGTTCTAGTCCTCCAAACTTAATCAGCTCTGGGGTAATGCCATCCCTGCTGCTTTTCCGGTCTTTAGCTTTTCTATAACCCTTTCCACACCCTCTTCCCAGATTATATTATCGTAATCTTCTTCTGGTAATAACCTATTCGCAGCTATTTCCTCGCATTCATTGGATAACACTTCAGCATAATGGCGGTTCCATCTCTTAAAATTTTCTTCATCTCTGGTTAGTAGTCCTCCTTCATCCCTTATATTTCTTATGGGCTTATGTGTCTTCCCTTTTAATACCTTGACAGTTTTCCAAAAGGTTTTTATGTTTTCTTTATAGACATTTTGGAGGCTCTGCCCAAATTCCACCCAACTTTTCTTCTTTGCCACTCTTACTACTTTTTTGGCTTCATTCCTTCCCAGTTCCCAGTCCGCTGCACTTTTGGTCCTACAGTATGCTTTCCATGCCAGCTTTTTCCTTGCAATTGCAGCTTTAACTCTTTAGCTGAGATCGCTGCAGTTCCACATATGGTTTCCGCTGTTTCCAGGATAGCTTTTTTCATTTCTGCCCATATGCTGTCCACATTTCTATCTATTTTGCAATTCTGGAGTTTCTGAGTCAGGAGCTCGGCATACTCTATTTTCTTCTCTGGTCTATTCAACTTTGTATATTTAACATGTTTTATTTTCTGATATAATAATAGTTATTTACAATCAATCAAATTCAATTATTTAAATTTATTTAGTAACAAAATCATTATTAATATGTTGATTCTGTGGTGAAGTGCCCTGCCCTGCTAATACTTACAGCGAAGAAGGGAGCACGGAATGCAGCAAATGCCTCTCAGGAACATACCAGCCCAACATAGGATCTAGAACTTGCGAAAAATGCCCTCATCCTTTCAGAACTGGATGCTCATCACTTGTAGGTATTTGTTTTGCTTTTATTCGTAATTTTTGTTTAATCAAAGAATTCGGTATACGTGAGGCATTAATAACGAAACAAGCAATTTTATTATTTACTAAGGTTTTGATCAAGAGGTACATGTGTACAATTATATATGAGTTTTATTGAAATAAACCCCCAACAAAAAAATAAACCAAATTTCCTCGGTTAAACTCCTAGGTAATTACTGTTTCTTATACAATATTTTGAATTTAATTTTAAAAGAAGGAGATAGACAAATAAATATTGTTTTACTTCCACTCACCTAAATATAAAATATACAGGATGTCCGTAAGTAGAGTTCACAGGAGTGATAGTAGACGTCGAGAGCTACAAAAAAGTTTATATAAACAATAGGCCAATTTTTAGTAGAAAAGTAGGAAATCTAAGTTTTGTGTTTTTCTAAGTAAGTCATGTTTTTTGTTGAATTGGAAGCGATACCTAATGAAATATTTAATTTAAATAATTAAAAATTACTTCACAGTAAACAAGATAAAATTTGCTTTAAATACAAATATAGTTTGTCATTACTAAAACTATTTAAAAAGGACTTTTAAGTTGAAAAAAAAAAACAGTTTCATAGCAACTTTATCGGAAAAATATTTCAAATATGATATTTGAAAGAAAAAAAAAATTAATAAAAAGTGTATTTATGCAATTATGTTTATTATATTACACTCCAACTCATGGAAAAAACAGAAATAAAAGCTATATTAACTTAAAATAAACAGTTAATTGTAGTCATTTTAGCTGAAAACACTGATAGTTTTAGTTGACTGGTTAAAAAATCATATAATTTTTTTACACAACTTGAGGAAATCTCAAGTTTTTTGTTGTTTTCTTGTGTGTACGCGTGCGTGTGCGTGCTCAAAAACGAAAAGTCTTACGCAGCAGAAAATACATATTTAAATTAAGTATATGCCTGGAATGTTACAGCAACTTTTTCTTCAAAATCAGCTAACCGGAAGTGCCACTTTATATCATCAATTTTCACATATTTACAATATTCTCAAAAAACGGCTCCAACGATTTTGATTTAACTCGGTATATTTATGTATAATTAAGTGGTTTTTAATATCATTCAAGTTTTATGCCCATTGATTGACTTAACAGGGCCAAAATGCTCAATGTTCAAAATTGTTTCCTCTAAAGTACATTTAATACAGTTTGCTTTAAATAATTAACGATCTCCCATAGTTTGCATTTATGATAAAAGGCAAAATATAACTTTTGGAAGAATTCTATTATTTAATAAAGGAATAAAAAAGGAAAAATGTTTATTTAGGTCCAAAATGACTCTCTGGAAATACTAGTCAGAATATATATAGTATAAGTATAATATATCGTTGGATGCGAGGATTTTAGAAAAAACAACGTCTAATATAGAAAGTCGTAGAAGGTAACGGAGAGTAACAAAAAAAAATAATAAATACTAATTTCTGAAAACTATGATTATTTAACGGAAATCACATGTTTCCAAGGAAATTACATGAAATTTCTAAACTAAATTTAAACTTTTAAAATTATCTTTAAGCATATAAAATCCATCTAATCAAGGCACTGACATTGGTTAAAAAACTATTTCATTGTACTTTTGTGAAAGAAGAAAAAGTATAAAATGTTTTATGGATGTGTAAAACATTTGTTTATAACCTTAAATACATTTACTGTAGTTTAATAATTCTAGATCTGATATTATATTTGAATAATCAGGTATCTATTGTACGTTTATTTCGAAAAATCACCATGTAACCTTTTAGAAAATCAAGTTAGTGAATAATTTGATGAATTTTCTCTTTGAGAAATCTCAACATTACATACCTACAATTAGTGTGACAACTTTTTTCCTAACTAAGGCAGGCAATGAAAATCATGTAACTCTATTTTAGTTAACTTTACAATGGAAAATAAAAGTTCAATTACTTATAGTTGTACAATCCATAATCCATAATAGGTTAAATATACAGATAAACTTTCAAATCTCCTTAGGCATAGCTGAGAGACTGGAGTTTAATGGTTTACAAAAACAGAATGAGTTACGAGGTTTATATTGCCTACCGTCGATATAACAAAAAGTGTTTTTGTTATTTTAATAGTCCTAATGATTTGTTATCTGTAAGCTTTAAGATTTAGCTCCGTTAAAAATGCACTTCAAACATTTTGAAATAGCCCAATATTGCCACAAATTAATTTTTAATCAATGTAGAGCGGTAAGTGAAGGTTGTGTGATACGCGCACCAGATATTTTTACTTACATTTACCTATATATTTTTTTTTTTTTTTTTTGTTCTTCCCTACCTCGCCTTTTAGGCTATACGGGATTTTCCTGGGCCGTAGGGTGAGGGCGGGAAATTTTAAAATCCCCTCCGGCACCGGGATGCGAACTCATACTTTTTAATCTTCTCAAAATCTCTTATCCGGTTGCCAGGCAACTCGCGGTGTAGTGCACACGCTTTAGCCTATTCGGCCACCCCGCCCCCAAAAATTGGTAGGGTTGACCGTGATACATACGGCCTATGCCTGGGTTTGTATATTCCATTCTTGTCAAGGGCAGTGCTAAACTTCTGTCCTTTTTTACTACACTCACACTTACCTATATATAAAATATATAGTAAGGGAAAATATTACGATCGTGAAAATTTTTGAATTCGAGTTCTCAACGGAAATACACGTTTTGAGGTCCCCTGAGTCCAAATAACCAAATCCCGAAAAATGGTCTGTGTGTCTGTGAACACTAGCTCGAAAAGCTGTGTGTGAGCAGTCGTAGGAAACTGAAATGGCGTATTTAAGGTTTGTATATGCCTAGGATGTTACAGCAATTTTTTTGTTAAAATCCGCAAAGCAGTGGCACTTTATATCCTCGATAATCTTTACGATATACATATGCATATTGTTACAATTTTTTCAGAAACAGCTCGAACGATTTTGATTGAACTCGATACGTTAATGTACAATTGAGTGTTTTTAATGTAAGGTAGGTTTTATCCTCATTGATGTTCTCCAACAGGGCATAAATGTCGATTTTTCATAATTTCTTCCTCTTAAGTACCTTTAATTCTCTTTATTTTATAAAATGAACTATTTCACACTGCAGTTAATGAATACAATTGTTAAATATAAACAGTGAAAAAAATTATCTCTCGTATAGTTTCTGGGATATCAGCGTTCAATAATCGCTGATTTTGAAAAAACAAATTTCTGCCTTACGTTTTATCTTTGTTTTACTATCCAACTATTTCCCTATTCATTCTACGAAAATGTCATGAGAAAGAAAGTTGTTGAGCATTAAACTTTTGTTAGAATTATGATAAACATCCGGTAAGTAGTTTTATTTAAATATTTTAGGTTTAATTTAATAATATTCTTATATCTAATATCACAATTATACAGCAATAATGGTGATGAATGGCTGTCTTTATCATGGTGAGATGTTCCTTCATAGGACTTATTCGTAATCGGTTGAAGAGTTTTCTGAACCTCGGTAGAATGCATACCCTATATATATATATATATATATATATATATATATATATATATATATATATATATATAGGAAATTTACGTTTCCTTCCCTCCCTCAGTTTGTTTATATTGTGGAGTATGTTGGAGTTTGCCAAAATCCAAGAAGATCTAAATCGGATCAGAAACTGGGCATACATCAATGGATTAAGATTAAACGCAGGCCATTGTAATTGGTTCCAAACCCCTCCTCAAATCCAATACCAACATTCCTATTCTGTATCTAAATAACCATCCCATCTCATTCAGCTCCTCAGTTAAAAACCTAGGCATTTTCTTTGACCAAACCCTCTCCTAGAATCACCATATTGCCCACATTTCTTGGCGGTCAATTTGTACCCTTAAACTGTTCCATCGCTTCTGCCATCTCCTACCATCACCCACACGTAGACTCCTAGTATCCTTCCTCATCTTTCCCCACCTTGACTACGGCTGTGTGGTGTACGGCGGCCTCTCGGTGGAAATCGGGGACAGGCTAAAAAGAATTATGAATAGCTTAGTAAGATTTGTCGAAGGGACCCCGAGACGTTCCCGTGTTTCTCACTACTATGCCCAGTTAGGGTGGCTCTTCCCCTCCTTCAGAAGACAATAATTTCTTGGCACATCCCTTTATAAAATAATCAACAACCATCGCCCGTCCTATGTATACAATCTCGTCCAATTTAAATCATCTGTCCACTCCCTCTCCACAAGATCTCGGCCTTCTGAACTTTAGACCCTTTTCCATAGATCTGCTTCATTTCAGCATTTCTTTATTGTCCGCTCCTCCACCTTTTGGAATTCCATCCCACTTAAAATCCGCTATGCACCATTGTTATCCGCATTCAAAACCCTCTGTTTAGGGTTGATCACCCTAAATTGGTGTTACTCCCCCCCCCCCTTCATGGGGTACATAAAAGACCAGTGAAGTTGGTAACATTGCAGCGACGGTGGCGCTGTATGCACCAAAAACTAGCAGTAGGAGAAAATGGGCGACTAAACCCACACGGAGAAGAAGACGAATACTCTAGCCTCTTCAAGATTACTTTTCATACGCTGTTCTACCATGGGAAGAGGCATGGAGTAGAACACTGAGACCTACCGGACACATGGAGGTGAGAAGTGTAGCAGCCGGCCGACCACCGATAGCGACCACCGTACCTCAATCACCAAGTAAAAGATAGTAACATTATACGCCAAACCCCCATCTACATTTAATGTTTAAATATAATTATAGTTAATTCCAATACAGTCCACTTGTTCATTTCAAATACCCAATCATATGTACCATATCATAATAAAAATGAAGGTACATCATATTTCACCCTCTTATTCCAATTCCTCTTCACGACCCAATCAGACTCTGGTTAATTATGTATCATACAACAAGGATATTTTTTTTGTTTTCATACACCGCTATTTTATTCTATTTTTTGTTTATTATTTGTGAAAGGGAAAGATTCAGTATCACTTTTGGTATAGCACTCATGGCAGAAAATTATTTATTCTGTTTCATTGGCCGTAGGGCGACTCTGGGTAGGTAGACCCTCCAGAAGCATACCCAGCCTCTATAACGTGGATACCGTTAATTAAAATAATTAGTTAAGGGGAAAATCTGGCGGTTGAGAGTGATCTGCGTCAAATCGAAAGCGCAATTTTCAAACTATACATTTCCTGATCTGAAAGCGATTTATTTTTTTTTTGTAGTAGTAAATAGAATTTGATAAAATTGATACATATCTCTAACTTCTCTCCAAATTTGAGCCAAATAGAACATGCGAATTTAGGGATGTAGTCGTATCAAGGAAAACACATTTACGCATGTATAAGAGAAAGTAGTGGATAGAATTCAATAAAATTGACAACACATTATTTTTTTAATAATACCTGCATTTTATCCAACTTTGAGCCTAATTGGACGAGCCGTTTCTGAAATATTGGCATATCTAAAAAAATAGGTTTTCGCGTGTGTAAGCGGAAGTGGTGGATGGAATTTATAAAAAATATATAATAAAATTGATATGGCAACATCTAGGTATCAACCCGCACAATCCCTGAATATTTCATAAACATTGGATGAACGGTATTAGGTGATATATCTGTTACATCGATTTGACTACAGACAGACAGACACCGAACCAAATTTGATCCTCGACGTCTGAAACGTAAAATGTGAGTTGAAATTTTCGATTCTGATCACAATTTTTATTTAACTTTTCGTATGGATAAAACGCTTTCTTACCTTCTGTAGCTAGGAAGCAAACATGTATTATAGTTTATATAGCTCCATTATTAATTTATGGAAGCTCTATTATTAAAAAAAAAAAAACATAGTTTAAAAAAAAAAGACTACAGAAATTGGTACATTTTATACACCTTGAGGGAATGTACTTCCATGTATACTGAAACATCTTGATAGGTTGATAGGGAAATTGACATATACGAATATTTAAACTTGGCGTAGTGGTCGGGTTCCTTTCACATCTCAAGACTCTTTCGGGTGTTGACATTCATCGGAGGAATTTGCCTAGAGCCGTAAACTGTCGTGAAAGAAACCCGACCACTACACCAAGTTTAAATATTCTTAGATGTGAATTTTCCTATGACTTTCCCAATTCTGTAGTCGGGTTTTTATTTATTTATAATAAAAAACGACTAATTTTAAATGGTTTCACGAATTTATTAATATTTGTTGTAAATAATTTTATTTTATTAAACAAAATCAGATGAAAATATTTTGTTGCAGTGGTTGTCACCTGCTGTTATTGCTGTTACCATTTTAATCATTCTACTAACTGTTTTGATATCAACTATACTGGTCTATTTATGCAAAACTGTTTTAGGTAAGTCGATAACATAGATTTTGTTTTACTAATAATATTTCTCAATTGTACGTAAGAGTTAAAAGTTGTTCATAAGGCAATAAAGAGTATATATTTGGACACTAAACATGGATAATAAGGAAACATGGAATTTCGCTTGTAATTAAAACGATCATAGACATCGTATTATACTTTATATATGACCCTGAAATTATTCGTTGCGGTTTTAATTTATAAAGGAAAGGGTACCTGTGAGTGGACTTCATGTGAGTCCATAACATTTTACCCCTTATCTAGGTGTCCTATGGAAAAAGTTTTAGATCACGAGCTTCGAATGCAAATTTCATTTCACCCAAACCAGAGGGGTTTCGTGATTGGACAACCTAGGTGCCACGTGGACTCAAGAATCATCGAGGCTGTTCCCAATGATGCTAAGAACAATCAGAAAGAGTCACATCACAACAATCACATTCTTGGACATAACTGGGTCATTTGACGATATTGGGCATGATTGTATTTTGAAGTCCCTGGAAGCTGAGGGTGCTTCATCTTATCAGAGAAAGGCGATAAAAGGATTATTGTTTAACAATACAAACAACTAGCCAACTAGCCATACTTTGAGAGGAGTGCTACAGGGTAGATTCCTTTCTCCACTATTCAGTGGTATCATAGATTCCCTGTATACAAAACTAGCCCAGTAACCTTTCTAAGTTGCATCGAATGGAGGTAAAAGGTTTCTTGTTTTGTTTTTTGTATTGGATGTGACTGAGATGCAAAATCCAAATTTTCGACCTCGGAGCCTTCCCTGATTACTTTTTAAAACCCCCAAAACTGCTACATTTTCGGTTGTCTCCCATTTTGACCATGAAGGAGCAAGTTTTCGACAAAATACTTTCTATAGAGTTTTAAACTAGATTTAATATTTACAATTTAAGACCAACACAGGTTTCGGCAAGTTTAATAATTTTAAGATACAGGTTTTCAAAGTTGGAAATATTAAGCTATTTTTTCTGTTTGATTGTATGCACTTGTCTTTATTCCTTCAATAACCTGTCTTATATGATTCAGTAAAGTAAATTTTTATTCATTCTAACATTTTGAAGGAAGAGTGAGAGAGAAGGGAAGGTTTGGTGGGAGAGGGGAGATCACTTTTCACAACCAGAAGTCTGAAATTGAAATCAAAAATTTATTTAAACAACATTTACATCAAGTATATACAAAAATTGTAAATGAAGTGAATGAAATTTTCTAAACTTGAAAACGTTAAGCTTATTTCATGTTTCATGTCTTCAATAGCCTGCCTTATAAGAGTCAGTGAAGTAAAAATTTATTTAAGTTATTATTTTGAAGGAGGATATATGGATATAGAAATGGCTATAAATAATTAATAAAATAATTGAGCTAGAATGACCTGAGTCATTTATTGCGTTCGATCTTTTTCGTAGGTGCCTACGCCAGTGCCGCTTTTCCGCCGATAAAGTATATTTTCTAAAGAATTATTTCAAATATGTTAAAAGTTAATCAGTGATTTAGAAAGATAAATGTATTCTCTAGATATTTTATTTCAAGACGTTTTTCGTTATTGTTGACCGTTTAATTAAAAATGACGCTTGATTTTCAACTTTAGTTTCAACGATTTAAAAAAATTGACTCTACGGGTCTTTTTTTATTTCCATAGCCAATTATTATTTTATTTTTTTTGTTGCTTTATTATACTTTGACTATCCAGGTTTAATAAAAGACCAATTATGACGAAATTAAACAAACTGCTGAATCTCAGTGACCGAAAAACGCAAGTCATCGTCGTCACTCTGACACGTTTGGACGCCATTTCGAGACAGTGCGGCCGCTTCTTTTGTGGAAACATTGCCTTTTTTATATATATATTTTATAGTACTGTGGAGGGATGGTGCACGAAAGGAGGGGAGAATCTGGCCCAAGGACTACACTCTTCCACAAAATCTTTCTTCTCTTTCTCCATCACCCCTCCTTCAAAATATTAAAATGAATAAATACTTACTTCCCTGACTCATATCAGACAGGTTATTGAAGACAAAAGACAATTGCATATAATCAAACTTAGAAAACCAAATTTTCTAAAATTTGAATATATGTATCCTGTAAACTGTTTGATTTACTGAGCCTATTCTGGTATTAAATTGTCGAAAAAGTGCTCCTTTATAAGTGCGAAAATATAGCAGTTTTGGTGGGGATATTGAAAAGTGATCCGGGGGGCGACGAGGTCGAAAACTTGGATGGGAAACTCAATCATATCCCATACAAGGAAATAAAAAGAAATATTCTACCCTCATTCAAGTCAACTTACCACGTACAAGGTTACAGGGCTAAACTTGTTGATCCAAAAGTTGCGGAGAAATATGGTTACAAATTATTTGATAACCAACATCCCGTTCTACTTGCAGTTTTCACGGACGATGAAGCGTTGACAGCTTGCAATATTGAGGCAGAGAAAGAGGACAATCAATTGCATTCGAGGGATACTTTGTGAGTTGGGACTTTATGAAAGTTCTTCCCAAAAAGAAACACCACAAAAATATAGTTTTATCCGAAACCTCCTTCCTCAAAAATTAAAACCCCGGAAAAATATGGCCCTTTCAAAAATGTTGATGCCGCAAGTTGCCTCTTCTGGATTCCACTAAAAAAGCGTCCCATTTTCAAGTTCTATTTAGGTTTTTCGTTACTGATAGTTTTAGAGAGAAGCAAAAGACACCTGAGTCTTTTACCATTCAAGTATTTCAAATACTCAAGTATAATTCCCAAGCTAAAAACGAGCAGTGAGTACTTAAGAACTGACTTTCAGTAGCGACCATAGACCATAGTCAATGAAGGGGACAAGGCACTTTCTCCTTCCTCTCCTCAATTTTTTTGAAGTAGGGCAGCAATCAATACTTCATTTAAACCCCATCAATACTTCGCAGTAATTTACTTAAAATAACTTACAAAAAGTTCAATAGACCTTATTGAAAATTATTGTATTACCAGTAGGCGTGTGCGAAATACGTGCTGTCCAGGAACAGGATCAACCAAAGATTACAAGTTAGAATCCCGGTGCCGAGGGCATATAACTCTGACGTTAATCCGCCGCTTTCTCCCATTACCAGGGGAAAACCCCATATAATCGAAAAGGAAAGGTAAAGGAAGAGAAAAAAAATGGCCAGTGTACAAAATTCGCAGAGTTTATTAGTCAGTAAAGAAATGGCAATATGATATGGAAATACGTAAACTCAATGCATTATAAGAAAAATTATGAAGAATTGATCGGGAGAGGGGGGTGCGGTCAAATAAATACTAAATTATAGAAATAGTATTATTTAATTTTTTTGCTGACGTTTCGACACACTTTACAGGTCTTCATCAGGGTTACAAAAGATACAAAATGTAAAAGGTAAATGGTGAAAATGAAATAAATGAATATAAGTAGATATAAAATAAGAAGTTGTCTGATAAAGAAATAAAAAGATGATATCAGAGATATAGTGGTTATCAGAGATAACTTGATATTTTACCTACATTGTCACCCACTATATCTGTATTATTAAATTTTTTTGCTGACGTTTCGACACACTTTACAGGTCTTCATCAGGGTTACAAAAGATACAAAATGTAAAAGGTAAATGGTGAAAATGAAATAAATGAATATAAGTAGATATAAAATAAGAAGTTGTCTGATAAAGAAATAAAAAGATGATATCAGAGATATAGTGGTTATCAGAGATAACTTGATATTTTACCTACATTGTCACCCACTATATCTGTGATATCATCTTTTCACTTCTTTATCAGACGACTTCTCCTTATTTTATATCTACTTATATTCATTTTTACCATGTACCTTTTACATTTTGTATCTTTTGTAGCCCTGATGAAGACCTGCAAAGTGGGTCGAAACGTCGGGAAAAAAATTAAATAATACTATTTCAACTCCTCATATTATATCACGATCAAACATCTTTACATCATTGTAAGAAAAACTATTTATCTTAATTATAATTATTACTATCTTAAATTAGTTGAGTTCTAATAGGAAAAGTTCTAAGCCCGTAGTATTTTTTTTAACTTCACCTAATGGTTAATCTAAAATAGAAAGCCTATGATATAAATTATTTAATTTTAACAATTTTTTTTTGTTTTTGGAAATAGTATGAAAAATTATTTAGGTCCTTTTTAACAATCATTCATTTAAATTGTTAATAAAAATTAAAAAAAACTCTCCTGACTTTAATGAACTCAATAAGAAATTATAATTGTCGAAACGGATAATAAGATATGAGTTTTGATTGTTTCATGATATGTAAACACCAAGTCTTAAATTAGTGAATTTTAAGTTATTTATAATTAAATTATCTGCAAATAAACCAGACCTAGATTTATATGTTACAAATAATATTTTAGGAAAATTTAATTTTTTTATAATAGAATTTTTAATAATACAATGTTTTCAGAACATATTTCAATATTTTAATAATTTCAGCAAAATGTATGTTGCCATTCATATCACCATGCTTAATGAGGTGTTTTAGAAAAAAAAAACAAGAAAAACAAATTAAACAAGTCAAACTAGAGCCAACTTTTCCTAAGAAAATACTGAAGGTAAATTATTTCTCATGGATAATTAGTTATATTGCTCAATTTATAATAGGTGCTCTAATTTAAATTTATACTCGGTACACATTATTGAATAAAATGCATTTACTGTTTGAACATAACTTAAATGATAATTGTATAATTTAATATCGTGATTGAACATTAATTTTATTATTACAATTAATTAATTTTACTACTAATTATGACAATAGTATAAACGTTCCTTTTTATATTTAAACTTGTTTGGATTATTTTGTTTTAGAAAAAAATGAGAAAGTTGTCTCCACACAGAAAAAAGGAAGACACTACAGGTAAAAAAAACATGTGCATACTTCAGATAGAATTTAGATAAGACTATGATTTAACATAAAGAATGATCATGTTTTTATGGAGGTAAGGGCTTTCAGGCAATAGCCTCCTCTAAATGGAGAAACATTTTTTTTTTTTCATTGGTCCATATTTGTTTGTCAGTGACCTAAGCCAAATACGTAAACAATCACAATTTATCCTCTTATTTTTGTTTTTTTAAATTATAGTGCAAATACCTAACGGTGGGACGAAAAACTTTCTCATAGAACACAAAAGTTGCATTTTATGTTCTAATTGTTTAAGAAAACAAAATTCATCTCATTTTCAACATGAAATTAAAATCTCAACAATGTAAAACTAACTAAATCAAAAATATTTTTTAAATTTTACATTGTTTTTATGACACTGATTATTAGTTATGTACTAATTGTTATTTAATTATGGTAACTGTTCTTGACAAAATCATTATGTTTAATCGCTTTCTGAAATCTCTCTAAGCGAAATACTCGAAAGAATGGGCAAGTTCATTATTGTTAGCAATCATTTTTAAAAATTTAGTTTTATATATTATTTTAAAAACTGTGGTTATACAACAATTTGAAAGTAAAAGATTAATTACGATAGATTAATTTAAGTCGGAATTAGCATTTCAAATTTTAGATAAAGAGGCAATTTTTTAAACTTTTTCGAAAAATCTAAGTATAAATTTAGAGGACCCAAACCTCATACCATTGTTGTAGTAGTTAAGAAGGATCTATTGCTAGGCATTAAAACCATTTCTTATTCAAGAAAATGTACTTACTAAAGTAAACAAAATTAATGTAAAATTTATTATTTTTGGAGACCTACCTTATTTTTAAACCTCTAGTGAAACCTCATGATATAAATCTAAGAAGGCAAATTTGATGGTGTTGTATTGACATAAAAAGGTTACTTTTGAGTGCTATAAGAAAGGTGTTCTCCGAAAAAAAAGCGTTTTTCGTTCCACCTTAACATGCATGCTACGAAACGTAAGCATGTATTAAGAATAATATAAGAAATTTATCTCTAAAAGCATTATAAATCATTTTATATACCTAGTTTTTATTTTATTTGTTTGCCTTGAAAGACCAGTTGATCGTCATTTTATTTAGGTTTTTTTGAAGTGAAAAAATCTTTAGGCACGTTTTGCACTTTCTTTGTGGAGAGTGAATTAGGTTGATCCGTCAGATTTTCGAAGTTTAAACGCTCGAGTAAAGTCGGCTAGAATCAACTAATTGAAATCTTTTTACATATGTGTTAAAATATCTCTGAAACTAAAAATCGGGTCTGCATACTGTAAGCGAGGATATTGTGTAGCATCTCTGTTATAGGCAGTAATTCAAAATTGTATCTTAACGCGACACCGTGTTAGGAAAACGAAAAGGAAAATAGTATCGAAAATCAAATGATAACGAATTTAGTTGAACATATGAATTAAAATATTTCAGATACTAAAAATCGGACCTATATACTGTAAGCAAGGTAAATGTTCAGCATTTCATCTTCTTTGTAATGAGCTATTATTCAAAATTGTATCTTAACCCAACACTGGGCTAGAGAGTAGAAGAGGAGTAGTGTCCAAAACCAAATAATAACGAAGTTTATGAAAGATGTGTTTTAAAATATCTCAGAAATTAAAAAATCGGACCTGCATACTGTAAAAAAGAGCAATGTTCAGCATTTCATCCTCTTTATAACTCCAGTCTCAGAGTTTTGAATGTAGGCAAAGAGAGATTTGAAAAATAATCTAAATATTTAATCTATAAATGAGTAAGGATTGTACAACATAGTAAAACTTATACGAGTTGAATCTGAATAACATTAAGCATGTTATTAAACTCTTATTTTTCACTAGTAAAATTAACAAAAATAAGGTTACGAGGTTTTTATATTCTTTCATGGAGAGGTCAACAATTTTAACACTAATTATAAGTGGATTATTTTGTGACTTCACAGAGAAAAAATCCATCAAGTTATTCACTTATTTAATTTTCTCTATTATTACATAATGATTTTTCGGAATAAACCGATGATATATTCTTAATTATTTAAAAAATATATTATCGGATCTAGAGTTATTAAGCTACAGTAAATGTATTTAATATATACAGAAAAAATGTGACATGATTACCTGATTACAGTCGTAACCAGAAATCTGGTACGATTGTAATATTTTTAATCACGGAATCAAAATAACTATATTTAAAAAAACAGCCAGACATGAACGATCCTTTCTTGTATAGACAATTAGTTTGCTGCCAGTATGTTCTAAACTATTCGAAAACTCATTGTATCCACGACTATTAGAAATATTATCAGACAGACAAATAATTCCTTACTCATCAATTCGGATTCAGAAAACTATACTCGACAACCCATCACGGGGTAACTGACTACATATCAATAGCACTAGAGTGAAAATTATATGCAATTAGAGTATTTCTGGGTGTCGCCCAAGCATTCGACATGGACCATACTTCCACACACCCACTATCTAATTATTTATTATTTTCTCTCAGACTCAAATAAACTATCAAGAGTCCAACATATGTTTAGCCTAAGACCCTCCTATGTACTTAGATTACATATCCGATTCCAAAAGTGGACAGAATACAATATCTAGGACTGAGAGAATAACATGGGGTCCACATGTTAAGAAAAACGTGCCACTTTAAATCTCTATGACTTAAACTATTGCACTCACTCTTATGACAACAATCTCAATTAAAAATTTACACATACCTATTAAAAACTATCTGGACTTACGGATTACAAATATATGGTATTGCAAAGCCGACACATAAAAAAACATAAAACTTTTCAGCCTAAAATACACAAGCATCCTGGTACGTGAATAGTAATATCTTACATACTGACTGTCAAAGAATACATACGGACATACTACAAACGATTCCATGATAAGTTGAAAAGACACTCCAACCAGCTAATAAAAGAATTGGCCACAACTCTTATACTGGAGAACAGGTGTGCTGAGAAGTTGGTTTCATGACGCAAGTTGCGCCATCAAAATGGGGGGCATATTTTGACAGTTTTTTGAATTTTCGAGGGAAGCAAATTGCAATGGGGTTATGAATTTTTGGACTAAGGGAAAAGAGAAAACATGGAACAGACAGCAGCAATTGTAATTTATATGATAATCGCTTTTTCTCATTATACCTTAGCTTGCTCTGTTTTTAAGAAAAGATGAGGATTAAATATCTTGGGAGGATGGAGGGGGTAACTTTTTGTTCCATCGACCTGGGGAGAGGGATGGGCACCCCTGCCAGAGAATATCAGAAGACGAATGAAAAGGGTCTGGATGAAGGACCTACTTACATAATTATATAAGTAAATTAAAGCAGGGGCGGGGTGGCCGAATGGGCTAAAGCGTGTGCACAGCACCGTGAGTTGCCTGGCAACTGGATTACAGATTTGAGAAGATTTAAAAAGTACGAGTTCGCGTCCCGGTGCCAGAGGGTATTTTAAATTCTCTGCCATCATCCTTCGGTCCGGGAAAATCCCGTTCAGCCTAAAAGGCGAGGTAGGGAAGAAAAGAAAAAAAAAAAAATGTAAATTAAAGCAGCAGAAGGGGTACTGCTTTTCCTTATGCCTATCAAGCCTCTTTATTTTATTTTTCTTCTCATTATATTGACAGCACATCTGCTGATTGTTAATAAATGTAATTAACAGGTGTGGATAGAAAAATAAAAGTGAAAAAAAAAGTAATAGTCGATTATGATTAAAATCGTGTAATCAAATACTAATGTTTTTTTTTATTATAATAGCAATCAGAATCGTAATCGTTCATTATTATTATACCCTTGATTGGTTATTTAACAACTATTTAATGATTAACAATAAAATAAATCGTAATTGTCCCAGAACAATTGGTTTAGTTAAATTATTTACAAAAAGAGGCATTAATGAAAACGACCATTACTTATAGAACAACAAAATATGCTATGAAATGTTTCCAATCCATTATCAGGTATAGGTACCACTAAAAAAATAAAGAAGCGACTCAAAAGTGTAAGAAATCTTATTAATACCAACCAGCATGATAGAAAAAGTTCGAGTTTCATCCATACTGAAACGCATCATTGGCACCATGTTAAAGAAATGAAGTGCAACAATAAACAGAATCACATTTCTTACTTTAACATGGTGTCTATGACATATCCAAGACAACTTTGAATCCTAAAGCACCCAATTAAATTATCCACATGTTCAATTATAAGATAAATGAATAATCAAACAAATATTTTATGACAGAACAATTTACTGTTAAGAAATTTCATGTGCATTGGAGTAGAAAATTTAGATATACCTCCGTAATAAGAAATCAATAGTTCATGCTTAAAAGGATAATTTGGCTATTATTATATTCTACATCTGCTAGTATATAATACATTATTCTTTGCAGAACCACCTACACCACCTTCTGAAGATTTCACAAGTTGAAAATACTGGCACTAAGATGAAGCTATATAGCAGGTAAAATTATAGTCCAAACAATCCAAGAACTCAATAGAGTTCCAAAAACAATGTAACGAAAGTACAATGGGAAGTCAACAGATGTCACATATTGCAGATAAAAGCCATCCTATTCACCAATTTTTTTAAAGAAATGATTATTGTAAAAATGTTCATAGGAGATTTTAATTAAAAATCAAATGAAGATTTTAAGTTTCATTTTTATTTTCAAAAAATAATTTTGTACTTAACAACTCAGATAGAATGTGGAAACTTTAGCAGTATGTGCATTATTTTATGAAGAGATTCTTTTCTTCAAAGTAAATAGAATTATTTAAAACTTTATTAGAAGAGATGCTTGACTTTGATGGCAATGCCAAAAGACAATTTGTTGTAAGAGATCAGTCAGGTTATCCAATAAAAGAAAACCAGAAAAGAAACAAATTGTTTTGTATTTTTATGATGTAATCTTGTAAACTTTTTAGGAAGTAAAAAGATATTTTGGATAAATTTTAGGTAGAACAATACGTATCTTCTATCAAAGACTACAAGACAGAAGTACTAATATACTCTAATCTCCTTTTATTTATTGGTAATTCAATGAACAGGAAATTTAAGATTTTAACAATATGCTTAGTTTGTTTTACTTAACAAGATAACTTCTTTTAATTTAATTTCTTTTATCTTAGAAATCAATTCATTTTCATAGTTAAATTTGAATTCAAATTGTCGAAATCTCATCCCACAAAATTCTCATTATGCGGTCAGCAACACTGATGGCAAATAAGTTTTCTATTTCTAATATTGTTTAATATTTCTTTTTTTAGATTAGAGCCATTATGCTCCAGTAATATGACCTATTAAGTTTGACAAGAGATAATGGGATCAGTAGCCAACACAAAAAAAAAAAAATCCTACAGGTTTAATCTATTTCCCTCCTGATCTACAAAAAAGTCACAAAATCTTTTCAGAACTATATATATTTATTTTCTATGGATAGCAAACTATAAAAGGTTCAGCTGAGGATTAGAATTGAAGAGTTCAATCTGTCAAACTGAGAATAACCTATCATTTACATTTATTTTCAGTTTCAATATTCTCCAGTTAATTTTTATAGCTGTTGTTAAGGGTTTCATCATTAGCAATTCTTTTTACCTCACACCGTTATTTTTACAAGAAGGAAGGTATATTTGATTCATGTTGTTATTTATGTTTAAATAATAACATAAATAATAACAATAGATTTCATGTAACCAGAAGTGGATCTAAATCTATAGGATCTCTGGACGATATGATATTGTAGTACGTTGTTATGTAAAATAACTAGAAAATTTTGATGAAACTTTTAAACATTTCATATTTACTTTCAAAGCTCATATATTCAGCTTAATCTATGAATTTTATTCTAATATTCAAAACGAACTACATATTTGTCTGTGATCAATAAATCATTTTTCTTTCTTGTATTGTGAGCGACCTGAGGCAGACACCTCCCTCCCCACCCCAGGAGTTGTATTTAACAGTTCTCGATTTGTCCTCGATTCTTTCATTCAAATTTTGAAATGGACGTTTGCCCATAAAATAATTACTTTATTTTATTTTCTACTTTCATAAATTTTATATTAATTAATAGTTTTTATATCAGCTAATTGATCTTCTCCTTATCAGTAATTCCTTAGTAATTTCTATTATGAGATTTTTAACCATTATTATTAGTATTTTATTTTGAAGTGAATCGTGAAAAAAAATTATGTTTACACTTTACTTACTTTTTTTTTGTGCAATTTGAATCTCTAAAATTGTATGAAATGGCAGAGAGATCCATGAGAGAAAAAAGAATATATATATATATATATATATATATATATATATATATATATATATATACATACATATTCTTATCAATGATTTTTCTTTATTTTGCGGAATCCAAACAGAAATAGTGATTTCATATTAAAATTATCACCCTATATATCAAACTTTGCATTTTGTAATACAGCACTTTAATGTAACTAAATATTAAATACAGTAAAATATTGTATTATTCTATTTATTTATGTACAGTATGAAATAGTTTAAAAAAACAAACTAAAAAACTACAGTCCTTTCAAATTATGCTAAAACACATTTTAATCAATTACTATTTCAGCTCCAACTTTAGTTAAAGCTTCTTTTAATTTTTCGGCCTCAGCTTTATCAACATCTGCCTTGACAACAGTCGGACAGCTTTCAACAAATTTTTTGGCCTAAAATAAAAGAAGAAGATGAAATAAATATAATAAAGAAAGCCAAATAAATTATTAATGGGTATAATTTTACCTGTACTAAATTCATGCCTTCTAATAAGTTTTTACATTCCTTAATCAGTGCTACTTTTTGTTTTTCATCAAATTTCATTAATTTGACCGTAAAAATAGTCTTTACAGCCTTAGTATTTTGTGCTTCTTCATCCTCCTAAAATAAGATATAAATTTAGATAGATAGATAGATAGAAAATAAATTTTATTCTGGGATGAGGTCCCTTATGAATAACAGTTGTGAACAAAAAAATGAAAACTACATCTGGCCAAAAATTACATTAATGATATATACAGTATCTTGAGTAACAGTATATTAAAACAAATAAAAATAACACCATTTTGAAAAAAAAACAAAACATTTAAATGAAAAAAAAGCAGCAATCAGGTAAAAAATAAATAACAAAATAATACAAGCATGGGTTAATTTAAAAAAAAATTAAAATTCAAACAATTTTAACAACCATTCACCTCAGTCAAAATCTCTTTCACAATATTTATTTTATTGTACAACCTCATTTTGGGATGTGAGAAGGAATTGGTAGAGATGATATTTAAATGAGGACAAGGAAGAGACATGGCGGATATCAGATGGCAAGGAATTCCAGAAGGCAATGGATCGGGCAATAAAGGAATATTCAAATGTCTTAATTTTATTTTATTAAGTTTAGTTCTACGGGAAGGGATATAAAGGTCGGAAACATGGGATCTTGTTTTCTGGGAATGGAGCACGGGTTTGAACTGTAGGAGACTGTAGATGTAGGAAGGATGTTGGGTGTTGATCGTTTGGAATAGGAAAGATCCAAGGAAATATTGTCTGCGGAAAGAAGGGAAGAGCCACTTTAACTCATCGTAAAGGTGGGACACATGAGACCGCCTTGAAATCCCGAAGACAAATCATAAGCAAGTATTCATGAGTCGCTTTAATCTATCCTCGAGTACCATAGGGATACCTCCGTACACGACACAGCCGTAGTCAAAGTGGGGGAAAATAAGAGAGGAAACAAGGAGCTTGCGGATGGGTTGTGGGAGTAGGTGGTGGGAGCGATGAAATAGCTTAAGGGTACCTATTGACTTATGGGAGATGAGGGCGATATGGGGTTTCCAGGAGAGGTTTTCGTCTATGGTGATTCCTAGGTTTTTAACGGAGGAGCTGAATGTGATAGGTTGATCGTTGATGACTAAAGGAGGAAGGAAGGAGATGGATTTAAGCATAGAACTGGAACGTATAATAATGGCCTGAGTTTTCATGACATTTAGCTTTGAATTATTCAGACTTGCCCAGGCACTGATACTATCTAGGTCTGCCTGAATATTGGCGAACACGACTAGTAGCTCAGAAGGGTGAAAGGATAAATAGATTTGGGAGTCATCAGCGTATAAATGGTGTGAACAGTGGTAGATGTATTTGGGAAAATCATTTATATAGAAAGTAAAAAGGAGAGGAGAAATGATCGAACCTTGGGCCACTCCAGAGGACAGTGTAAGGAAGGAAGTTGGGGTTGGTTTGGAATGCTGACTGCTTGAGTTCTGTTGGATATGAAAGACTGCAACCAAAGGATAGAGCTGTTGGAGAAGGATAGAGATTTTAATTTAGTGTAGAGATAGAGTGGTCTAAGGAGTCAAAAGTTTCGGAGAAGTCTAGAAGTATTAACACAGTTAACATTTTTTCGTCCATTGCAGTATGTAAGTCATTGGTAATTTTTAGTAGGGCGGATTGTGTGGAGAAGCCAGGACGAAAACCAGATTGGAGAGGATCAAGTAGTTTTGAGTCTTCAAGGAATTTAGAGATTTGGGATTGAGCTATTCTTTCCAGAGATTTATAAAGGTTAGAGAGAATGGAGATTGGGCAGTAGTCTTTAGAAGGAGGATTGGGGATTTTGTTAATAGGTCTGACTAAAATTAAAAATTATTAATACATATAAATAATACATAGTTTAGCTTTAGATCTTTTCAATACATAAATTAATTTATTAATTATTTAAATTTAGCAGATCTTATACTGATTGGTTGGTAATTTTACTACCAATTACTCCTATGGTGATCTCTATTTAACTGTAACCTATTCCACTTACTCAACTATTCTATCATTTAGTTCAATTTAAACTATCATATTTTATTTTCTGAAACATGACTCAGACTCTTTATCGTTGATTACATAAATAAAATATAAAAGAAGTTTCAGGATTTTGTTTATTTTCTTATTATTTATGACCAAGACCCAGATTTTTATGTAGTAAAAACCCCCCAATATGCCATATAATATGCAGTAAAAAACCCTGAAATAGTCAGCTAAATATGTAATAAAAAAACATGAAAAATGCAGTAACTGGTCTCTAAATATATTAAACTTACTAATTACATGATTATTAATAAGGCAATAATGTATTTAAATATAATGAAGTTATTTTCATTCTTTATTTTAGATATTAAAAAAAATATTGTAATTTTCATCCCCTCCATAATTCCTGAACTTCCTGAACTGAAAACTTTTTGTAGACACTTCATTATATATTTAAATACATTATTGCCTTATTAGTAATCATGTAATTAGTAAGTTTAATATATTTAGAGACCAGTTACTGCATTTTTCATGTTTTTTTTATTACATATTTAGCTGACTATTTCAGGGTTTTTTACTGCATATTATATGGCATATTGGGGGGTTTTCACTACATAAAATATATATATATATATATATACATTATAACAGTAACGAAAACAACATGAATCACATTAAAAAAAAAATTAAATATCAAAATAGTATAAAGTATATACAAACGAAAAAACAATCATTGTATTAACACATAATTAAATAAGCAAATTAATAAAACATAACAAATATGGAACAATAAGTATGTAAACTCTTTAAAATTTTGTACGTTAATTGATAAAAATCTAACATAAGTATTTGTTGAAACAATAACGTAATTAACAACTTGTGGAATAAATAGCGTAAAATAGACAAAACATTTGAATTAGTTTACTTTGCAGACATGGTCTGTATTAAAATTAATTACCAGAAACATTGCTAAATTTGCATCTGTGAAACCTAACCTTTTATAAAATATTTTTATAATTAGAAAATGATCTTTCTACATCAAAAGGATTGACAGGGACAAATTTATATCCATTTAAAATTACCAGGTTGCTGTCAACGCTGTGAACAATTGAATCTTCGACATGTAAAATTTTATTAATACCTTTCAGAATTGTGAGCCCTGAATTTTTATAGAAACTTCTTCTATTTTTCATTTAAAGTTACAACCACTTGACCCGGTACCACTGGTTTTCTATCAGTTGTAAGGACTATTTCATGATGTTTATTTTAAGGTTCAATCCAGGATTTCAACATTGATGAAAACGATGAAGATACTTTTGGCTTTTTAAATTGACAGAAATATGATCTCTTGCTAAGAACATAGGTAACAAACTAAAATAGAAACTTAATATGATGTTTACATAGGACAAGAAGAGGGAATGGTTTCTAGGAATTGGAGAACATTTATAAAGAGAATGATTAAAGGGTATAGCGGATGGTAGGTAGGTATACAGTCTACAAATGTGGTAGCTGTTCGTTCAAAATAAACCTAGGATTGTAATCTTGAATTAAATCTACAATATTGCATTTTTATTTGTATATATAAATAAATATTCATTTAATATATATATACATTGTTTATTTCATTAAATTAGTCAAAATATGCAACTATATGCATTTATCTTCAAATATGCAATTATATGCGTTTATCCCCAAATATGCAAAATAAAATTTGGCAAACAAATCACAGTATACAAATTTGTATAGATATTTGATCAGCGGTTAAAAAAAAATATAATGCAAACAAAATATGCAATTGCATAAAAATCCGAGCCTTACTCATGACCAATCATCAAAATTATTGTACTTCCAAAAAGTCTTGATTAGGATAATAGAGACAGTTAGGTGCACATGACTTCTCACTATCTTTCCCTCTTTTCAACTTCTTCATTACATCACTGACCACAGAACTTCAGACAAAAATCCCTCTTGTTGATTAAATTCTTTAATCAATGCTCTTGACACAAAGATAGAAAAAAATTGACAATTCTTACAAATCTGTCTCAAGTCAAAGCTAAAGAACCCACTTCCTTTCAGGTTTAACCCAATGATTTAAACACCAAAATTATTTCCAACATATTTTCCAAAATGTTTTGTAATGTAATAGTTTGTATGTTTGTAATTAAATAGTATAATAAATTAAATATTATAATACAATTTTTTTCACTGAAAAATTGAGAGAAAAATAGGTAGAGATTGAATCTTTACCACCAGTATCAAGTGAAACTCAATGTGAAATCAGGCAATGATTTATAGATAATTAGAAAACTCGGAAGGACTTGACAGAGCATGTCAAATGAGGAAAAATGACTCAATAGATAAGGAAGAGCTTAAGTAAGGAAGACAGAAGGTGTCAGGCAAATGAGCACTCAAATCACTCTCGGTTGGCAAGCTAAGGGATGAGCCTTAAGGCATCGCAGGACGGTAACCACAAATGGAAAGATAAGGCTCCTTGGTATATCGGACTACAAACGGACGTGTGAGCATCCAGACGTATGGAAAAAGAGAAGGAGAAAGAGTTGTAGGTACATAGAAGAAAGAAATAGTCAGATCGACAATATTTCAAAAAGTATATAAAATATAATGGTCAAAGGTGACTATGAAGAGTAAGGTAAGAGTTCCCTGAAGAAGTAGAAAGAAATCACTCAATTTCTGATGATATCAGTTAAAAATGCTACAGATATATCTGCCATAATAAAATTGGGTATCTACTGTGCTCAAAAGTAGGAAAACTAAAATATTTCTGAACGAAACATATATATTATTATTTGTTTTCCAGTTAGTTTTATTCTGACTATAGATAGAAACATTTATTTAATATATAAGATATATATTATTAGTTTCAATACCACCAAATGAATTTTTCAAAAATGAACTTATGTTCGTCTGAGATGTTCATCTAATTCATACTCGTACAGAGACATAAAAAAACTAAAAAAAACTGTAACACTAACAACCAATGAAAGGTCTTGGGGTTCAGTATAATGTGAGGAAGTACTGTTACAAAGCCAACGGTTGTGCAGAGAGGTGACGGGCCAATATCACTCTCAACCGCCAGGTTTTCTCCCTTAATTAGTTATTTAATTAAGAGTACCTACTAGGTCCCATAATTGACCCCCGGTTGATGAAAAATTACTAGTCATCAGTCGGATTCAAACCTGGGACCTTGAGCTCTGGATGTCAGTGCTCACCCACTGAGCTACCGCTCCCTTACAGCTACATGAACAATCTTATAATTTAAAAATTTACAGTTTAAAGGTTAATAAGCTCATAATTTCCATTAATAAACAAAAAACCAATTTTTTGACTTTTTTGTACATAATTTTTTATTTATGATTCAGTTAGAATCTCAAAATTTGTCACTTCATAAACAAATTGAAATTACAGAAACTGTAGGAGAAAATCTTTAAAAATCAACAGTGAAATAGGAAAAATTATATCTCAAAAATTTTACTCTGTAATAGAAATACAGGTTACGCTCTTATATAAAAATATAACGACTGCATTAACGGTATAAATGTTAATGTTGACAAAGAAGCAGCAGTATTGGCTTGTTACAAAATGAGTCCCCTAACATCAGTTCATGTTGAACGCTGTTTTTCTCAATTAAAGAACTTATCTAGTAAATGATAAGAGAAACAATTTTTCAGAAACAAATTTCAAAATGTATAGTATTGTAAATTTCAACTCGTTAAAAAATAAATTTTTTAATATAATGTGGATAATTTATAATTATGTATGTAGATATATTATTCTTAATTAAAATTAAATATCTGAAATCAATTGGTCTAGTCTATATAATATATACTTATCCTTCATATCAATAATCTTTTTAAGTTCCTCTACATTACTTCATTCCTTGTATGTGCCACTCAATTAAACAAGTTAAGGGAAATTTAAACAAATATACTTGATTATTTGCCTGTTAATTATTGAAAACTTTTTATATTTGTTTTGTGAATTACCTTAATATTTTCTATTATTTATGTAAGTCCTTTTTTTTTTTTAATTTCTCTTTCTTCAAGATTAATCGTAATGTTCATCGTTAATATCGTTAGGTTAATCGTAATTTATTGTTGTATTAGATTACGTATTGCCGTTAGTTGATTGTAATATGGTTTTTAATTTTTTTTTTTTGTGACAAAAATATTTTAATTCAGAAGCTTAACAATATGGTTTGACAGGGTTTTGATGTGTTAATATTATAAATTAAACAAAATAGATGATTTTTGCAAGTTTTTAGGAGTAAATTAGATAATTTTACAAATTTTGGGTTTTTACTGCACGTTTTGAGTTTTATGCTGCACATTTTCGGATTTGTACAGGAAGAAGATCCGGTCTCTAATTATAGATATTTTAAAAAATTGAATGTAAAAAAAATTAAATATATTTCAACAAGTAAAATGCGAAAGCTGCTCTAGAGTGATGCCAGATTAGCAGAGCTACAGCTATTTGTAGATGACTTGAGAATGAGCTAATCACCTTAAAACATCGTTTAAAGTAGAATAAATCTTTAAAATATAAGGGCTTATTTATTCCTTGAAGCACCATATATTTGTAACATTAAGTGCCCTGATAAAGTACTACTGTAGTAGCTAAATAGATGCTTTCCTACTATAATGTAGTAATATTTAAACAGGTACTGGTAAATATCAGCACATTTATAAACAGATCAGAGACTAATTTGTTATAATGATTATAAAAGGTTGCTGTTAAGTGACAAGAAGTTTTAAAAGTTATATAAATATTTTACCTCTGATTTTGCCGGAACCATTCCACCAAGAGGCATAACTGGAACATCAGGCAGATTAAGCCTTTGTTTAAGGGCTGTACTTAGTTCTGAAACTTCCAACAACGTTAAATGAGAAATTTCGGTAACTAGTTTTTCAATTTTTATGGAATATGAAGTTTCATTGTCTGGAGCAGGGACAGCTAGAGATTCACCCCCCAGAGAAGAACTAAAAAGAAACAAGAAAATATTTGAAAATTTCGAAATTCTAGAACTGCGTATTAGATTTTAAAACTAAGAATTAGCTAATATATGTATTTATTAATAGGCTAACAAGTTTTATCGTTTAGAAGAAGATAGATAAGAATATTAAAATAAATTTTAATCACCTTTTAGAAATTGATCTAATTTGCCTAAATCCTAAGAGTCCAAAACGTCTTAGTAGAGACATGACTTAAATATTAAAAGTATTTTCTTGATAAAATACTAATGTGGTTGAAAGGTTATGTATATAGCAAGCAAGCACTCATTTTTAAAAGATATTCCAATGAGATAGGAAAGTTTGGATAAGTTAAAACTCTGACATTCACTATCATGTTAAGAATGGGCGGAGCTCACATCACAACTAAATTTTAGAAAAAGTTCACATTGTAAATGATATTCACAACAAAATAAGAATAAGAATTCTGATCGTATGTGTAGAAGTGAAAAACTGCTGCATGTCTCCATAATGGAAAAAAATAAACTTTAACCAATTGTCTAAACGCACCTTAAAAACTATACAATGTTTGGTAGCTAATTCTGAAATTCCATTTCCATTTTGGAATCTGACTCTGATTCCGAAGGATTAAATTATAATAGTGCAATCTTTTTATCTTCTTCATAGCTTAGTAAGTAGCACTATTCCTACTAGTAGTAAGTAGCAAAGGAATGTATAGTTACAATCCACTAATGAACAGTAGCTCACATTGTAGAACTATAGCACCATTTATTGTTGTTAAGAACCATATAAGAGATTTTTTCTTCAATAGTTTGTTTTTACATGTACAATGTATTGTCATTAAGCTTAATGGCAGTAATCATCCCTCAATTTATGAAAATATTTTTTTTAAATCGTACACGTCACATTTCCTGCGGTTTAGTGTTCAGCTGTTAGGCGCACATATATGAAGTTGCACGTGTAGGAGAAATGGCATTGTAGCATATTAATGTGATGCTTCCAACTATACTTTTTAATTATTGTTTTTCGTTTTTTAAATTTTACATTAAACTTTTGCCGTGACCTAGCATCAACTAGAAATAAGTTCTGTCATTATAACTGAATTTCAACTGCTCATGTTCTCACATCTATCACTCCATGAAAATTATACAGTTAAACAAAAGAGGTTGTTCAATATTTTTTATCTCAAATAACATAAACAAAAACAAACAATTTACTGAACCGTCACCTCCACTAATTTTAGGCATGAGCCGCCACTGCTAGTGTAGACATGACCTCGATAATAAACCTCCGGCAGTCGTCTAGATCGTGTGTCACCGACTTCCTGATCCACTCTTTCAATTTCGTCTTGGTATTATGAGCCACTCCATCTTGTCATCATGTTTTCTGTCTTCCAGGCCTCTTTGTACCAAACATTTTCATAATGAGATTTTTTTGGGATCTCTTGGTTTCAACATTTTTAAGATATGGTCCGTCCATCGGAGCCGCTCTGAACTTCTTTCATATGCAATATATGAACCCTCGGTTATTCAACTATCGTCTATGGGCTTCCGTACAAAACAAAAATTTTGCAAGATCGCCTCCCAACCCCACTCTAAACCTGTAATTCAGTTTCTTGGGAATATTCATTAAGTATGCTTACAATACATTTACTACCATCTATTGTAGAGCGGCCAAGTCGCACAAACTGCCTTGGTATACCACTATCGCCAGGAACAACTCCTATGCACTCTTAAAATCTAATAACAGCTAACAGGTCTTTTTTCTTATTCTGGTACTACAAACCGAAGTGGACCTTGACCTGCTTTAACATCTGTTGTTACAGATCCCTGTCTTCCATCATCCGGCCGCATATCCTCTTCCACCTTCCCTTCCATGGTGCCTTTTATCGTCCCTTTGGTCTAGTGGCAAACATTCTTCCTGTGTAGACCTTCTTCATCTGTATGTCTTCATTATTATTTAATAGTTCTATCTGGCCCACCTCTCAATGATCTCTTCATTTGAAGTTAGAAGTATACCTTCCTTATTTTTTATCCAATTGGCAGGTATATCCTTTCTTGATGGCTCCTATTTTTCTGTAGAATTTCGTACTTTCGTTTTGTTAGGAATGTTTTCGATGTTCTTTAACTGATCCTCCAGAGCATGGCAAAGCAGATTGTTTTGCTTCACGAAATTCGTTTTGCTGTTGCCTTTTTTGATGCTGCGGGCACTTAAGGGCCCATTGTTCCTCTTTTCGATATCTTGCTTGAATTCGTCGGCAAACCATCCCTTTCCCTTTCGTGTATTAGTTTATGGAATTGTATATTAATAGATATGAATAGATTAAATGTATATTAGTTTTGGAAAATTGTCTGTAGCGATTAATAAGTATGCTGTGTTTAAAGCAATCCAATGTAATTGGGCAGCACCCTTTTATGATAATAAAGTGATTCCCTCATAGTTCTGTATTTCCAACAGTTTCCCCAGCTGCCGTTAAATGCGTCCGATCCAGTTTGTTCCATATACCATCAATAGTTCCTTTTTCAGCAATATCCAAAAGTTCGTCAACAACCTTCTCTTTTTTACTTTACTAAAACTATAATGATGTTTCTTCAACGTGACGTCTGAGAATGTCTTTTCTCCAGGAGAGTGACCGCTCTAGACTATTAAACTTCATTAACATGCCTTCGTTGAACTCTGTTTACATTCATTATTAATGGAAAAATAAAAATTGATTAATAATCACGATTTGGATGAAGAAAGTGAGTCCTTTTCAGGTTTATTATTACTTGGCATACAAAATTTGTTGAATTTTTTAAAAACTGTGCGTATAGATTTCAAGGAAGGTTTTGTTGATGGTAGGGAATCGGGTCCAAGCCATACTGTTTCTAATCTTAATAAACATATTTACTATATTTTATAAAAATTTTACTATTAGAATAAATTCTTAACAGAAGAGGAAAACAGTTTATCTTCAAATGTCACAGGCCCTAATTTTGTGTTTGTTGAATCAAAATCTGGCAATATAGGTAAAGTTCACCCAATGCTATTTGGGAAATGGCTATTCCAAAATAATGATAAGTTTAATATCAACGACATTTTAGAAATAAGAGTATTAGGCAAATACCGAATTAAAATGACCACCTCAACAGCGATTACTGTCAAGCACCTCACCGAATGTCAGTTTTTAAAGGATGAAGACTTGATGGTTTACATTTAACTTTCTCTGACAAGAAAGACGAGTGTGATTCTTCATGTCAGTATAGGTTTATCTTCTTTTTTTTAAAACTTTTATTATGATATTTACAACTGTATTAGTATGAATACATCAAGTAAATGTGTACAGAGGAATATTATCACATGAAACACGCTTGTTGAGAAACTACCCATTGGTAGCACTCTAATAATTTGTCTACATGAAAAGATCACGAGGCCATCTTCTTTTCAGACGCCTCCTAGGGTTATCAGGAATCGAAGAGGAAGCAAGGTTAGAAACAAGAGGATTCGGATGGTTATGAAGTTTATTATGGAAGGATAGGTATCTGGATTTGGCCAAATCGGAAACATATGGAACATTGAGGTCTTTATGGATTATTTTATTAGTGACAAAGTAAGGAGCATTGAGGATTTTACGAAGGATTTTGGATTGTAAGGATTGGATGTGAGAGGAATTCGATTGTTTAGTGGAGCCCCGTAGCTCAACTCCGTAAGTCCAAATAGGTCTCATTATAGTCAAGTATATGAGTCTTTTGTAATTAATGGGAAGTTTAGAGCGTTTGTCTAGTAAGTGTTGGAGTAGTCGGAAACGTCGAGCGGTTTCTTGTCTCTTCAGTATGGTATGAGGATTCCAAGTTAGACGTTTGTCCAAGTGAAGTCCAAGGTATCGGATTTGTTCAACAGGGATAAGTGGGGTATTATTAAAGGATACTGTGGGCATGAGGTCATAGGTTTACGTCGAATGGTAAAGGTGATTTGATGGGATTTATTAGAATTAATTTTAATTCTCCAGTTTTGACACCATTCTTCAAGGCTTGTGATGTGTGATTGAAGAGTTTGAGATGCGATGGTTGGGTCATTATTAACGGATAGGACACATGTATCATCGGCATACGTGGTAATAACAGTGTTAGGATGTCAGCTGTATAAACTGTGTAAAGGATAGGACCAAGGATACTACCTTGAGGAACTCCGGCAGATTGAGAAAAGAGGGATGAATAGGTATTATTGTGATTTACTTTGAAGTGCCTATCAGTAAGATAGGAACTGATGATAAGAAAATATGTAGGGGGAAGGAATTTACGGAGTTTGTAAAGCAATCCCGGATACCAGACTCGATCAAACGCCTGTTCAACGTCGAGAAAAACTCCAGTGCAATACAATCCGCGCTCCAATGCAGAGGAGACGACGTCTACCACACGATGACATTGCTGGATAGTGGAATGGGATGTGCGGAATCCAAATTGGTGATCTGGGATTATGTGGTTAGAATCTAGGATGGGATACAGGCGTTTTAAGATGAGCTTCTCCAGGATTTTGCCCATGATGGGTAAAAGAGAGATAGGACGGTAAGAGGATGGGTATTCTGGTGGCTTTTTGTATCATTTTGACTACAGATAGTTTCCAAGGGTCAGGAAAATATGTGGAACGGAGTACGGCGTTATAAATGTAAGTAAGGAATAGAATGGCTTTTCGAGGAAGTAGCCTAAGAATGTGGGAAATGATTAGGTCGTGGCCAGGAGCTTTGCGGGAGGGTAATCTATGAATAATATTGGATATTTAAGAAGGATGAAATGATTTAGGAGGAGGAGTCATTTGTAGTGGAATATCCAGTTCTGTTTCAATACATTCAAGCTGATTTGGATTAAGGATATCAGGATGTGGATTAAAAGTTTTGAAGAGGTGATGAGCAAAAATTTGGGATTTTTCTTCATCAGATTTGGTCCAAGTTTGAGCTTCAGTAAGAATTGGATGATTAAAGTCTTTAAATTTCAGAAGCCGTTTAGTCGTCGTCCACAGTGTCGGTAGGTGTAAGTTTTTCAGTAAAATTTAGTAAATTTTGAATTTTGTATTTTCTAATTTCTGATTTTAGTTTGTTAGTCAGTTGGGTATAATGAGTTTTATCTGTTGGATATCTAGTTCTATGCCAAGGTTTATCTGAGAACAAAATATTACGTAATATGCATTCCGAAATTCAACCTATTTCAGTTGAAAGAATGAGAAAAATTGTAAGTTATTGTGAAAAAATAAAAGTACATCCCTTAGAAATTTGCAATGTTTCATTTCAATGTTAACAATTGCCGATTCATATCACTGTTTATAGTGGCTATTGTTTGA